ATGCCTCTCCACTTAAACACAGCGATGGAGATTAACCTGAGGGCAGTGTTTAGCCTGTAGCAGCAATATCTCTAGGAATCATGGAGTGGGAGGGAAAAAATCTCTCTCACATCAGCCCAAGTTTGCTGTTTTGATACAAAGGAAAGCCTCTTACAGGCTTGTAATGTGAACAAATTCAATAAAGACCTGACTTATACACTGAGCAGCGGTTTCCCACAAGGCCATTTTTACAGACATTTTTCGGAGTAGAACCACAGTTTAAGGGGAAAATAACTGCAGATGTAGAACAACAGCGTAGTTTTGAGAAGCGCATGCATACGATTGGCAGGAAATTCAATGCAAAGGTTATAGTTAAAACAACATTATTTGGAAAGTACCAGAAATAACTTGCAGAGCTTCTAGAGACCTTCACTGTGTATGCTGTCAGGCAGCGAACTTCAGTGGCCATCGGGCAACTCTGCCCTCATGCCTTCACCTCCTGCTGGTTCTGTGCCCTTTTTGCTGCTCCATTCCAGAGGGCCTTGGGGACAGGACACTGAGATGGATTTGCTGAGCCCTCCACCGAGCTCACCCCGGTGAGCTGGGCAGTTTGCAAGGCATCCCAGTTAGCCTGGCACTCTGGTCCCACTGAGAGCCAGCAAAGGGAAGGGGTGTCCCCAGCCTAACAAACAGGATGAGCTGATGATTTGTGGGGTAATTTGACACCACACAATGTTTTGCCCTTCATGCTTCTTCTGTGTCTGTCCCCACATTCACGTTTGCTATTTTACAGAGACACTCAGTGGACACACAACTGAAAATGAGCAGTTTCAGCAGCACTCCTCTTCTCTAATGAAAGCAATGTGAGGGCAAAAAGTTTTGTGCATAAGTACGTGCCTCGGTCTTGAGTATTTTTAAAACTTATGTTGCCCCTGAAACGAATCTGTACCAAACAACACCTTTAACCAAACCTCCATCATCACACTTTTACCTGCTACTTTAACACTGAGCAACAACACTGACTGTAGAGTTTACCTATCTCAGCCACCATTATGGGGACAGGAAGGTAAAGCCAAGAACACCTCTTTGTGTTGCTGACAGTGTGGTTTTGTTTGGCTTCTCACATTACAGAATGGCGCAATTCCTAACAATATCAGTGTGAAGAAGATAAAAAGCGACGCATTCTCAGTAGCACAGCATCTTGGGCAATCAATTTCAAAACCTGTGCTGACAGCAAGCAAAATTCACATGTGCCAGGTGGGGTCTGGATGTAATGCCATTATCATGTCTCTGGAGGAAACCCTCTAATTTATGCCACATGGTCATTGCTTCATACATTTTAAACTGTGTTTCCAATGAAAATATGCTGAGGAAGTTTGTGTCTCCACACAGTTGAGGTTTGGTTGTCTGTAGCTGATCCATGGGATCATTCCCCCTCCCTTCACAGTTTTCACAAATTCCAGTTGCCCTTGACAAAGTGTAAATCCCTTATTGAGCAAGGGTATCTTGATGGAGGAGTGCTGTTTTCCATTGGGACCCTCCATGGGAAGGTCTTCAATGTGACATCAGCCCTTACTAGACAGCAGAAAATCTGCACAAGAACCTATCATAGAGAAACAGATCTAGAAAAACACAGCCTCCAGAGAGGCAGCTGATCACACAAATCCTTGTTTCCAGTTGTATCAGCCACCCATCCCCTATGGGGGTGACTACATGTTGAATTTTCCTCTTCTACTATTTCAGGTACCATAGTGCACAATCAACCTCATATGATTTTTATGCATATATTAAAAAAAAAAAAGGAAAAAAAGGGAATCAGTGGAGGTTTTTTCCTTGATAAGCTGAACAATAAAAAACCTGTGCTATGTGCATTTGCTTTTCCAAAGTGATCTCTGGTCTTAAGGAACGTGTAGGTTTCTCTAGCCTGAAGGACAAACAGGAAAAATTATGGTTAATATGAATGATCCATTTCAACTGCAATGGTGGTGATACCAAGAACTTACAGAGAATTTCATTGCTTCAGCTGAGGATTTCTGTGCCAGAGCAAGCTGCATTCATTTTTAGAGTTCCTAGGAAGGTTGGTCTGTGGCCTGATGATCCATTACATCTCCATCCCAATGGGAGCCTCCAAGGTGCAGCATACCCAGCCAGCAGTTTCCACAGCAGGAGAGCACACAGCAGCCCATCCTCTCCCCTGCTCCTCTTCAGCAGAGGCTGGCTGGCTTTGATTCCCTAGTTGTCCTCCCCAAGCCTGGCCTGACAAGAGCATTCAAATGACAGCTCTCAAGACTCCTGGTCCTTGTTGTGTGTGATGAAGAAAGAGGTGCTGCACTCCGCTACTGCTGGTTAAGTGAGTGCTTGGTTCTGGATCAGCTGCAATGCTTTCCTAGAAATGGCCATGAGGAGTGACTATTGCACCCTTCTGCAGAATGGCTCTGCCTTCAAACTACTGTGTTTTTCTCCAACACAATTTCTTTTTGAGGTCTAGTATCTTCTGAGATCCAGTCTCTGGGCTGGGCTTCCTGTGACTAAGAACCTATCTTCCTCCTACACCCTTTTTCCACTACCTGAATCCAAGATCAGTTTGTTGTTATACTAGGTCCCATCCTCCAGGTTTATAGAGTCCTCAATCAAGAACTGCCTGGAGACTTGAGATTAGCCTCTGGCAACTTTTGGTCAGCAAAACCTTCTTGCCAAACCTGAGTTTGGGCCTTGAGCTGCTCTAAGAGAGAAGGAGTGACCACTGTCCATGTAAGAGGAGACTCTCACCATGCGGCCTCACACGAATGGCCATCATTCTGCAGCCCAGAGAAGACAGGAAACGTGATGTGCTGAACTTCAGAGAATTCTATTTCTGTATGGAAAAGAGAAAGGGGTGTGAGAACATGTTTGCAGGTCCGTATCCATCTGTGAACCGGGCAACCATCAAGCTGTGGATTTGCATTTGTACATCTGCCTTGGCTTGGGATGTGAAGGCAGAGAAAAGGGCTATCTGTCTGCAAAGGTGAGGGCATGGGAAGCTTTGGAAGAAGGTGAAAATATTTCTTTTATCTCTTTTTCTGACCTGTTGAATGGACAAGCCATGCCAAACAGGCACTGCAGCTACTGCAGGGTGGTATTGCCTGGCTGGACTAGCTACAGGGCTCAGGTCAGAGAAGGGTGGTTCTTCTGTGGAGTGAATGGGGTGTTTGGCTGGGTAGGGAGGCAGTGGGATGGGTGTTCTTGTGGTGTCACACCATCTGCAAGTGTCAGGGTGTGCCTCAAACTTGTTCACACTCAGCATTGACCTGGTTCTACTCCCACTGTGACCCAGCACAGGTCCTCTAAAACTGGGGCAACCATGTCTGGTTTCATTCAGGTGTTGCTCAGGTCAGCAACTCCAGCTATTTTTCACAAAGTAGTCCATGGTATTTCTACTGTAGACAGACTCCTGCCCCCAGTTTCAAAGTGATCTGTAAACTTGTGTAGACCCTGAGAGCAATATGAGTGATCCATTTGGTTGCCTCAAAGAGGAAGATATGAGTCTTACCAGTATCCCAAGAGGTCCTTTTTGCTCTCTTTTCCCTCCCAGCAATGGTTTGAAACTGGTCCCAGAATGTCTAAGCATTGCTTAAGACCTGACCCCTCCAGACCTGTTTCTGTACTTACTGCTTTATCATAAGCAGGAAGTAAAACGCGGTTTGCTTTTGGTTTTTTTTATTCTTGGCCTTATTAGACTTTTCGATACTCTGGGGCCTTTTCTCAGTCTGACAAGGCAGGCAAGCAGCAGCTTCCTGTGCACAGGTGAGAGAGAGGAGACAGAGACCATGCGCATATGACAGAAACATCTTTGGAGCAGAACTGCCGGGCTGCAGGCACCGCTTCTCCCATGGACATGCACTGAGCCAGGATATCTGCCTTCATCACTCTCCCTTCTTCCCCTCACCCTTCCCCTCACTGTTTGACACCCAGCACCTGCTGCCGCACAGCCTCACGACCCCAGGGACTCCCTTCGTGTGGACTGCTCTGTGCCTGGAGCTGGAAGGTAAAGGGGGTAATGCCAGCTCTCTCCCACATGGGGGTGGCTGATCTGAAAGCATCTTAGAAGGAGTTTCAATCTGACAAACTGCACTTCACCGTTGGGAAGGGCTGAGAACATATTTATCTCTCTGTCTCTCCACAATCCTCTCAAATCATACCCCACATCTCACAACCATGCCGCCTGCTTTCTCTCTTTCTCTCCCCTGTCTGCTAATGTGTTGTCATCAGGTTTTTCTTCCTCTGAACCTAATCTTTTATCACAATGGAAATTGGTATTAAGCTCATGCTGGCCCTTTATAAACCCTCTCTTCACACCCCTCTCGCAGTCCTGGCAAGGTCCAGTGGAGCTTCCATTTTGTTTTCCTCAGCTCTGTCTGAGCTCCAGGGTTGGTGAGAGGTGAGGACAGCTCCTTCTCCTCTCCTGTGGGCAAAGGCTGATCTCAAGGTCCAGGTGACCAGGTGGAGGGGAGAGAGAGAGGTTTGCATGAGAAGACAGTAAGGCCAGTCTGTCTAATATGGAACACGACTGTACAGGCATTGTAAGACAAGGAGGCTCCCTGGATGCCTGGTCTGGATGAGGGCTGCTGCTGAGTTTCCTAATTACAAAGCCCAAATTTTCTGATTCAGCTAAAATCATTAACTTCCAAGGCAGAGAAAGGGTGTACTTGGAGGGGATGATGCACTGTTTGTACACTACTATGTAATATTTTTTTATATGGTAAAGCCTTCACTTTCTAGAACATGGTAAACACTTTCTTCTCCTTGATTCCCCCACCTGTCCCAAACATGCTATTCGAAACCTGCCTCCTAAGCCATGAGCTCTGCAACTAACTTCTGTCAGTTGCATCCAGGGACCCTCTTACTCAGCAAGCACCTAGTTATTTCAGCCCTAGGGTTTACCAAAAAAAGAAGCTCTTCAAAGCGCAAGCTGTGCACAGCCGAAGCAGCACTCTCTACCTGAGTCAGCAGGCAGCCTGAGACAGCGCGCACGGACTGCTGCGCGCTCACTCTCGCGTTTGCAGAGGACAAGAATCCTGCACACAGCCCCTGTGCTGCCCTGTGAACAGCCTCCCTGCTGAGCAGAGCAGCCGAGGCAGGAGAACAGCGAGGTGCTGAGGGAAAGGTGCAGGCTCCGGAGTGGAAGGGATATGAGTTTCTGGACCTACAAGACTGGCACTGCATCCTAGGACAGTGGATGCCTCCTGTGAGATGACATCTCGACATCCTCCTAAGTTCCATTGCTGAGCTGTGTTGTGGGGGTGTCTTCTCTCTTTCAGTGTGTCACCAGTACTGATGAAGCCCTCATTGCTGCTTCTGTCTCACCTCTGCCTGTTCAGCCGCATGCCTCCCTCGTGGGCATCAGACTCAGCACAAGGTAAGAAGCGATTCCTTTCACCTGTGCCAGCTGGGTGAACAGGGAGGGCAGTCAGCCAGGGCAGTGTGTGCCACACGTATGCTGCTGTGCAATGTTTGTGTTGTAATGTGCAGCCAGGGGAGGTTGCAATATTACATGTCTCTGATGAGCACATCAGCCTACAAAGATATAGAGAAATGAGTGGCACTGTCTTTCTTACATGGACGTGCCAGCAGAGGATTCAGTCAGTAGTTTGGGATGGGGCAGCATTGTCTGGGGTGATGATTAATGCCAAGCATCATTGCTAATTGAGCCACATTGTTTCTGTCTCTTCTCTGCTGGCAGGTGCCTCCAGCCTCACTTGTTGGTATGACTCTCGGGCAGCTCTCTTCTGCGACTGGGACCCGGGCAGGGACCTGGCTGAAGCACCGTGCCAGCTGGAGATTTTATCAAAGAAAGGCTTTTGTGACAGGTGGGTGACTGGAGAGACTGAGGGAAAACAATGCCACTTTACAAAAATGTAGGCTTCCCCCTCTCAGGCCAGGTATAGTGGAGAGAGCTGAGGTGTTTTGTCTTGAACTCTATATCTTCATGTGGGCTGAGATGCTGGCAGCCACTGCTCAGTGTTTGCCATCTGACAGTCCCAAACTGTCTAGCACAACCCATCTTCCAGCTCCATGGCTCTATCTGAACTTCACTTTTCAAAAAGTTCTTCTTCCTTGGCAGACACCCTGGGGACTGAAAGGCATTTTCAATGGAAAATGAGGATGTATAGAGATGGGGCTGGAGAAGGGTGGAATTGAAGTTATACAGAGACCATTTGGCGATTGCCAGGACGAGCTGAGATGTTGCGTTTTGAGTAATAATGAGAGAAGAAAAATATTGTCCTTCTTTCTCTCCCCTGGCTCTTTCATCTCTTCCAGTTCATGCTGTTTTCCTCTTCCATATACCTGCCAGCAGAGGGGAGGTGTTTGGCCAGTACTGCACTGGGGGCTGGCTGAGTCTCTGTCATCTCCAGATAGGACGTCTGCAGCCAAGAGGCTTACCAGCCAAGCCCAGGACTGCCCTGGGTGCCTGCCTTGAGGACAGGCTCAGTGTGGTTCTGTCACTGGGTGGGTTATTTGTCACTGTCATAGAGGCACCTCTAGTTGGGTTAGATTGACAAATATCTTGGGGCTGGTACATGTCCCTAGAAAGCTAAAACACTGATGTTGCTCCATGGGTGTGAATCAGAGATTGTGGCTGGAACTGGGGCTGGATGTGGAACCCTCCCCACTGTCAGTGAGTCCCAGGCCTGATCTGACCTTAGAGCTGGAAGAGGAGCCTCAGTCAGATGCTGCCCCAGCTGCAGCCCCAGAGATGTTCTCCGCCCTGCCACACCCCACGCCAGAGCTCAGCTGGGGCTCTCTTGTCAGGGTAGAAGAGAGGTTTTGATGTAGTGCTGCCGCTTGAGGTGTACTGTCCTTGCTGACTGAGATGTGACCTGGCTCAGATGGTGCATGTCACTGAGTATCTGAGATCCTACAGCACTGTCAGCGTCTGGAGGGAGACCTGTAAAGCCTAGAGGGGCTGAAACAACAGGCATCTGTCTTCCAGGGCCGTGTTGCTGTAGGTGAGTCTGGGCTCTGTATGCCCTCTGATATCAACAGGAAGCAGAGACGATAGGAAGAGGATTTTGTGAAATCTTTGAAACTGGAAATCTGCTGTTATCTTTGCCTTGAAATAACTGGGGTGCATTGACTTCTATGTGCCAGCACATAAAATTTGTCTGAGTGATACAATGGGGAGAGAAAGTAGGATTAAATATTTCCTGTAACCTGTTCAGCAAATACAGTAGAATGTAAAATGCTTTGAAAGCCCTTTAGTATTACACAGTGTTTGACTAACTACAAAGCTATAACTTTCCAGCTATAGCTTTCCATTGGAGTCACATCCCTCATCTGAAAAACCCAAGAAGCACTGCAAGTTACCCAAGGCAGAGCATATGACAGGACTGAGGAGATGCATCAAAACCTTCAACCAAAATGTTAATGTGAGTAATTCATCTGCGATGTCCTGGCTAAGGACAAAGGATTTACATATGCATTTTGGGTGTATAAACAGTGCAACATCCAGGGGTAGTATAAAAAGGCCAAACCTAATCCCTGAGTCCAGATCTGGGATGGGGCTTGGTGTGTATTGTTGATATAGGTGCCTCCCGCGGGTTCCCCTGCAGGAGGGATTGGCTTCATTGTGAGCTGTGCTGACACGTGCAGAAGAGCTGCAGGACAGACAGATCATCAGCAGTGTCCCATGTCTCAGTCACCTGTGTTTGGCCCAAATCTCTTCCTCTGAGGAGGGATGGGCAGCACCACCAGCTCTGAGGTCACCTCTTGAACTCTTTTTCCTAGAAATTATCAATACCACTTTCCAGATAATTAGCTACTGTGAAATGTGGTTAGATGTGTCTAATGCAAGATGCAACAGCAACACATCACTGGAGCTAATGGTGATGCAAATCTTCCACCTATTATTCTTTATTTAAATCAGTCTTATTTTGGATCCATTATGTACTTCCTTCAGTCATATCCAGTGTCATTGCAGTTCCCATGTTTTCAGAAAACACCCACCCAAATTTGAGCTAATATTTTTATTGGTAAAGTCACAACCAGTTCTAATGACAGACAGGCTTTCATACATTTGCATATCATGTGCAAAGACAAATTGCAGGGTTGGTACATAGCTCCAAAATCTTTTCTTTCTAATCAAGCTAATTTCTCTGTTGCTTATTCAGTACTGTATGATGTATGTGGCCCTTCAGCATCACTGCATTTCAAGTGTCAAGTTTAATACTAATGCGGTCTCAGTTTTACCAGGGAAGATAAAATGTTCTGGTAAAAATAAAATTTCTCAATAAATATAATCCATAGAGAGTAACTTTTTCTCCTGTTTAGTCAGCATACACAGGAATACCAAGAAACTAGTGTATCACAATATTTTGTGCCCTTCTTGTCAATAAACAAACAAAAAAAATCCAACCACATGAAATGTAAATTTTTGGTTCCTCACTCACCACTGAGATTTATGCCTTTCTGCCACAAATACTTTCCATATTTATTGTCAAGTATGCCTAATCATCTTATGTGTAGGCAATGCTTAGAAATTTGAATGCTTATTCACAAGGTTTCACTGTCACTAATGGTTAATTTTCCCTGCAGAATCAGTGCTTCACCGTTGCAGACAGTCTTAACTTGTCTGTCCATTGCCACACTGGAGAGAACAAAACCAAAATACCTGAACAAATAAAAAACTTCAAACCATTTGCAAATAGTGAGTACTTATCTGTCTTCTGGTGTCTGAAGCTTCCCCATTCGAGGATAGCTAATTTTCCTTCCTCATCCACTCCTATGCAACACCCACAGCTGATTTTAGGCCTTTGTCTGTTTGTCGCCTGTTACAATGAGCACAATGTTGATTCCTGCCACTGGCTCCTCTGTCACGCAGTGCCATGCCAGCCACACCCTGTCCTGTCCCATGTCTGGCTTCAAACAGGTCATGATAGTTCAGCTGCCCTCATGAAAAATGTGTGCTGCAGGAAGGACGGAAAGTCTTGCTGCTCTTCCTCTGCCCCCCTCTAGTTATGTGCTCCCACCCTTCTTTAAGACAGCTTTGGCATGTTTCAGTCTTTGCTGAAAGGATTCAGGTCACTAAGCCAGAAGAAAAACATCTGCTAGGGACATTGTTTTGCTGGCTGTGTGAGTTTACCCATCTCAAGGAGATGTCCTGCTGCTGAGGGGCTTGGTGTGCAGTCCTGTTACGGACAGAGTATGGGGACATCAGCCCTGCTTCTTATCTCTTTCCAGTAAAGCTGAGGCCTCCAGGAGACCTTCAGTTGGTTAACATAACTGAAAACACCTCCAACCTAACATGGAGCCTGAATATTTCCTCTCACTATTTGGATGGGAAGCGGGAGTACCAAGTGCGGTTCCGACACGTGAGTCAGTCCTGGGAGGTGAGTACAGAGGGGGAAGCTGGGATATGTTTCCATGTGAGTCCTGGAGAATCCTGGACTTGTTTATGTCCCCCAAGACCTGCCCCTGGGCCTCCTCTCAGGATGTAAGCAGTTTTGGTGAAGCTGGAGGGAGGATGACAGCCCCTGCCCTTTTATCTGTGTCACCTGCTGCCAGTGTTTGGTGATGACAAGGAGGCAGATGGGGATCCTATTTTACTTAGTGCTGTCACAAAAAAATTTAGACAGTTTCAGGACAGACCTGAAAGGTATGGGAAAAGCAAAGCAAAGAAGAATTTTCCTTCAGGGTGAACAAGCCATGCACGAGGTATAAGGACTTGAGACAAGTGTTCTCTGAGGGTTTTGAAGAAGATGGGTATGTGAGGCTGTAAACCAGGGTGTTAATGATGTTCTAAATTTGCCCTACTCCCAGGAGGCTGCAAACTTGCCCATTGAGCAGGATCAGATGTGGGCAAATTTTGAGAGACTCTCACCCAACTCTAAATATGAAGCGGCTGTCCGTGCAAGGCCAAGTGCCAGGAGCGACTACAAAGGCGTGTGGAGTGACTGGAGCAAGCCGGTCCTGTGGAGGACACATGCTGACCATAAGGGTAAGTCAGGTAGTCTGACCTGGAGGGGAAAATGGGGACTCAGGGCAAACAATGTAGAATGGTCAAAACAGGGTGAGAAGCTGAAGGAAGATGTGTAGGGAGAGCTGTGTTGACCAAAGAGTAATAATAGAAAGGTTGAAAACTGTCCCTCCTGATCAGTTAGGTGAGATCATCTCAGCATCACAGCTTAAGGGCAAAGACCCCCTGACCCCAGAAAATCCTCTCTGACTTCCAGAAGCCAGGCAAAATGCACAAGGTATAAAGCAGGGACTGCTTCCCCAGAGCAGTAAGGCCAGATGTCTAACCAGCAGATGCAGTGGCCAAGATTGGCATTTTCCCAGATGCTAATGTTACCTGGGAACATTCTCCCAGCTTCCTAAAATGGCCCAGTTTACTGGAGGTATTGATCAGTGAAATGCAGTGAAACAGCTCTCAGCTCCTGAGCTGAGGAACACCAAGCTTGGGAAGCAAAGTCTCATGGAAACTGGGAGAGACTTACTGACTACAAGCATGGTAAGACTCTTTCAAAAAAGGTCTGCTGAGATCTGCATCAGTCACTGTGTGAACTTCCAGCCTTGGAAGAAAGAGCCCTCCAGTGAGTCGGTGGCTGTGGCCTCTATTTCCAAAAAATAAGCAGGTAGAGGTTATTCCTTCTCACGTTGCCCCCATCCTGCCTCTGCTCAACCCCTCCCTGTTGTTCCTGGTCTTGGTACAAACAGAGGAGCTATGTTTAGAAAGGGCACTGTGTTGCTGTGGCGATCAAATTTTGACAGTGTGTGATGTCAGTGAATAGGATACAGCCGCAACCAGTTGTCATAGCAACCAAGACCCAAAGATAACCAGGGTACCAGAGGCAGAGGAGACAAAGTGATCTGAGTAGCATCTCAAGGACAGGGAAAGAAAGAATGTGCTAAAAATGTTCCCTCCGTCTTTTATTTTGCTCTGTTCTCTCCTAACTGCTCCGGAGATTCTCTGCATGACCAGGCCGAGGGACACGAGGGGTGGGAGGAGATGAGGGGCAGGCAGAGGAAACAGGCACAGAATAGCAAGACCAAGCAAAGGTGCACTGGGGAGATATGCGTGAAAGAGACAGATTAAGGAATGTTTGAGATGATGCCAAACAAGCCTGAGGAGTGCTGGCAGCCCTGGCAACGTGGGAGCCCAGTCTCTTTGTTCTAACCCTACAATCCAAGTACTAAAATACAGTGTAAAGTTGTAACCTTCCTAGCCTCCTAACGCTTTCCTACACTTCCCCAAAGAAAGAAGCCAGTCCCTTGATCCCTAACCTTCTCTATCCTTATCTTCTTGCCTTCTCAGAGACCTGTGAACCCCATGACTCCCTCTCCCCACTGACCATAAATGCTGTTTCAAGCCTCCAACCCCACTTTAGCTGGTTTTAGGAGTCCCTGCTTTCCTTAGCAATGAAACAGGTTGGTGGACACCTCAATTAGCAGACTGTGCCACCTCATCTGTGGCCACCCCTAGCTGTGGCGCTGTTATGACCAGGGAGTTCAAGTTTTGTTTGTTCAGCACAAATTATCTGTTAAGCAATGCTTAGATTCTGAAACCCATATCAGCTCAAAGGCATCCTACACAACACAGCAGAACTCACATATACTGGCCTGTATATTAAAATTCTAGATAATATTATAATATTATATAAAATTATAACAAAGGCCCACTTTGATCGCCTTGAACAGCCATGAAAGGGCTGCAGCTTCTACCTACAGAATCCTGGTTAGATTTTAACAGCCATTTCCTCATTCTTTCTCATCTTGCAGGAACATCCCAGCCAGTCCTGCCAGTTCTGATAGTGAGCACTTTCATCTTTGTGATCATTGGGACCGCCTTCCTCATTAACTTACGCACCCTGAAATGGTAATTGAGAATTAAGTTTACGTCTCTGTTCCTCTCCTGTATCTTGTGGGTATTCTCAAAACTCAGATTGTTTTTCACCTGGTGATGCTCAGGATAGAGATGGCTTTAAGCAAACTAATTTATGGTTTATAGCCCAAACTCCTGAGACTGATATTTGCCTGTGGAAAAATAACACCATCCAAGACGATGTGGTTTCACCAGCACTGTTGTATTGTGCCATTCTCCTGTGACCCGGTACCATGCCCTGGCTAAATTTAAAACAGCTGCCTCAGCACATCTGTTACCCAGGGGTTAGAGTGGTGTTTCCTGGCAGGGGTGCATCAAAATTGCCTCTTCAAAAGCAGGTCACCAGGTTGGGAACTCTCCCTGTAGCGAGGACCAAGCAAGCCTGGTTACCACTTCCTTCTCATTTAAACATTCCAGCAAGAGCTCAGGCAGGATGAGATGACATTGGGCCTGCAGGCAAAACTGCTGGGTGAGGAGCACAATTCTTGTTCTCCCTGGTCTGTGCAGTCCTCACACACTGATAAAACCCACATGATGCTTCAAGACCTCTTTGCCAGTGTTTCTACCCAGACACTACTTTTATTAAGGACTGAAAGTGTCTCACAAGGTTACTCAACACAATAATAGGAACAGTGACCTCTCAGCTTGGCAGAAGGTTAGAAACAGTCACAGGTTTTCTCATCTCAGGTCAGGGGTAAAGAAGCTGATATTCATGCTGATATTCATGGCAGGGAGCAGGGACAAACATTCTCAGGGATGAGGCTGCAGAGGCTGGATGGTTTCTTTGTAAGGAAAGACAGAGAACCATGCTGAGGGACGACTGATACTGAGAAAGTCACCAGTCACTATTTTACCCTGAGTCACTACACAAAGTTGAGGAAGTGCTAGATGCAGAGCACAGAGGGAATTAAAAAGGCCTCCTTTCTCCACAAAGTATAATCAACCTAGGGGAATTGAGTGCAGAATAATGCTGAGGTAAGATGCAAGGAAGGATTAGACATGCATGAATAAAAATAGCATCTGCAGTGATGTAAGGTAGTTTATATGCAAGAGCTAGCAAGCTCTGATACTTCAGAGAGTACACCGATTGCCTCCAGAGGTCAGGAGGGTTTTTCCTTACAACATCCTACAGCAAAGCTTCAGCAAAGGGATGACAAGATGATCCAACCACCCTGAGAAGCTGAGGAGCAGCTTAGATCACTCCAGGCTGCCTCAGGATGACAACACACTGGTTTCAAGCAAAGAGAGGCCTCTGGACAATGCAAGGCATACTCACTCAGATGGCTTGCACAGCCAGTGTGCCCCAGCTATGCCATGCAGCATGCATCTGGGAGGAAAGAGAGCTGTGGCAGAGCTTTCCCAGTGATGGCCCTGCTCAGGCCACATGGTCCTGAGCCATTGCGGTGATAGCAAAACAGAGAAAAATCAGCGCACAGCAGCAGGAACTTGGAAACAAGGGAGGCCTGCTCAGCTTGTCATCAGGACAGGGGCTGAAGGGGGCAGGTGGAGAGGCTAAGGTGACCGGGCAAGGCAGGGAAGAAATCAGAAAAACCAGGGGTTGTCTTTCCCCAGGGAAATGGCTGGGGGAAATGTATTTTCCAGTGCCAGGTTTATCTGTCTCACCTCTGTACATCTCGTGGCTCAGTAGTGCCTCTCAGACCACTCAAGAGGAAGGACAGACCCCAGGCTCAACTTTACCTCTTCCCCCATGCCAGGGCAGTACCTGTGAATTGCAGGGCACTCTTTCACCCCCACCACAGTGACAGTGATCAGGACCAGGCCCTGCTTCATTTGTCCTTCTCATTGTTTCTCCTCAAGGTTTAAGAAGATCCTGAGGATTCACATCCCAGACCCTGAGAAGTTTTTTCCCCCGCTTGTTTCGGTTCACGGAGGTGACATTCAGGTATGGGGCTGGGGATGGGACCAGAGTGGGGAGAAATGGGGGAAAGGAGCACCCAGCTGCACATGCCCAGGACAGATAGACTACCCATGCACACACAATATATGCACCAGTAGCACCAGCTGCTGGGTTCTCTGCTCAAGTTCTGTTTTCTGACCTTCTAAAACGTGACATGCAGCCGAGGAATCTCTAATTACAGAACAAAGAAATGGCAAACCACACAAAGCACAGCATCCTGCTCCCATAATCAGCAGCCTGAGAGACAGCAAGGGACCTGCAGGAGGGGGCTTGGCCTCTCAAGATCCCCCTCCCTCCCATTTCAGTGCCCCCCTGCTTGCCCTAGGCTGCCCAGCTCTTCCCCAGATTTCCTGCTGTGAGCTTCTCCTCTGCTCCTGTTGTGAATTGCCATCACACTGGATAGCACTTAGCTATTCCTTGCATTCTTGTCAGCTTCCCTTCTTTTCCCACTCCACTATTCCCCTCCCCTAGGCTCTCTGTGAGTATGGGCACCTGCAAGGAGACAATTACCACTCTGTGCAGCATTAAAGGGAGCGTCAGATGCAAGACGTGGGAGGTGATCCCAAGGGGCATCTTGCTTTAAGAAGGATGGAAACAAACTGCAGAGGGTTCAGAAAGAGCAAAGCTTTGGAAAAGCCAAGTTATAAAAATACTTAGAAAGCTTAAACTACAGGGAAAGAGTACAAAGTAGGGGGATGGGGTTGTGCACTCAAGACACTTTATCAGTGCAGAAAGAACTTGAAAAATTTGCTTTACAAGCCATAAAGGCAATGGATTTGGGTGTTATTGAAACCAGTTTATTTTTAAGGATAATGATGCACTGGAGGATGTTGCTCATGTTGACTGTGAAAATTAGGCAGAAGGGGTCTGGAAGAGCATTTTAGACAAGAAATCTGCATATGGCCATGTGGATATATCAGAAGCTGTTCAGCACCTAGGAATAGATTACATGAGATACACCTCAATACTGTTTTCCATGCTTCACTTCATCTTATGGTCTTGTAAGGAGTTTTCCTACCTTTTTTATTCCCTTTGATTCATTTTAATTCTCCATCTTAAATTCGCTGCTTCAGAAATCTCAAAACATAGGCTGACAAGATCCACTCTTAATTTTAATGTGACAGAATGACATACTCTCTCTGAAAATCCTGCAGATGAGACATCATGAATGGGAATTTCCCTCCCCACCATCGCTGGTAACCCTTGCTTGGACAGAAAAGAGGTCACTTGATTGCTGTGGCCAGTCAGTAGATGAAACCTTTGGTTCCTCTCTGAGTGCTATACTTTGATAGTCACTGTCTCTCTCTCTCTCTCTCTCTCTCTCTCTTGTGTTTCTTCCCCACCAGAAATGGCTCTCCTCCCCATTCTCCACATCTTCCTACTGTGTGAACAGCACAATCCCAGAGATCTCCATGCTCGAGGTGATGCAGAAGAATGACCAGGAATCCCGGTTTCTACTTTCCAAGGGAGCCCTGACTCCTGATCCTCCCAGAGAAACCAGTGTGCACTCTGGATCCAGCTGCTTCACCAACCAAGGCTATTTCTTCTTCCACGTTTCCAACTCCTTTGAGGTTGAGCCCTGTCAGGTCTACTTCACCTACGAGCCTTTTAGCCAGGAGGGCAGTGGCAGCAAGGATGGCGACTGCTACCAGGCTCTCCCCTCTCCAGACCTCTGCACACTGGCAGAGGACATGCATGTGCTGCCCAACAACTTCTTTCACTGTATCGAGGCAAGCCAGGGCTCCCAAAAGAGCAACTTCATGGAAGAGACAGCAGGTGAAGCCCAGCAGGCCATGGCTGTTCCTGGGGCTCTCCAGTCAAGGGAAGGCACTTCACCAACACCGCTTGTGGAGCAGGATGAGAAGGTGATGGACAAAGCAGCTTCACAGCCGGCTGGGGCCGTGTGCCAGCTGGACACTGACTTTCCTGACCCGCTGGACCTGCAGGACAGCGACACTGTCAGTGTAACCGAGGGGAGCGGGAAGGGGGGCCCTCCAGCTGACCCCTGCCCACCAGCAGCAAATGCTGCCTCTTCCTCCTCCCAGCCTGCACAGCCTCCACCTCTAATGCAAAGACAGGATGAGGAGCCATGCAAAACAGCCTTCTCCAGCCAGGTCCCAAACACTGGTGCCTACCTTTCTCTGAGGGACCTCCAAAGCCAGTACAGCCATTGCTCTGTCTAGGATCTGCCTGGAGGAGACCCACAGGTGGGAAGGGCCACCTCTGCAGGGAAGGCTAGATGGACACTTTCTCTCCTCAGGACATGAATGTAACTTCAGCATCAATCCCATCTGCACTGCTCGCTAATGAGGCTGGAGAAACTCAGCCAACAAGGACTTACCTTCACAAGCAAATCTGTTCTTCTGTTACTACTGCCTCCGATGCCATAGAAACTCCTCACATTTCTCAAGTGACATTCAAAACCTCACTAATTCATTTTTCCCTTCCCAGCTCCCGGTAGGAGACTGTGCCAGCACTTCCATGCTCTGCATTTTGGTGTAAAATAGCACTCAGCTTTGAGGCTGAGCTGGCATATGATCAGTTTGCCTCATACTGGCCTAAAAACCTCTGATGGGACAGAAAAATGCCTGAAGATGTGGATGTTAGATTTTATACAGGGGCCAATAGCACTGCCCAACAGTGCTGGGCTTGATGATGAAATGGATGAAGACATCTCCTCCTGACTGACCAAGGGTGTGATTTTTTTTCTATGATGTCATTACTTTAAGTTTTAATCAGAGATTACATCCTAAGCTATTTGGTCCAGCTTTACACTTTAGACCATAGAGTCTCTAAGGCAGGCTCAGAGCCACAACAGCATCAGCTGTCTAAGCAGTGCAGTGTAAAAAAGAAATCCCCATTATTGAGTTAAAAATACTGGGGAAATCCCCTCCCTCTCTTTCCTCCACCTCTGATGGTGGCAGTAAAAAGAACTCACACAGTTTCCCATTCTTGCTACAATATTTTTCATGAAATCGAAAGCCTTTCTGCCCTGCTGGCAAACTAGAGTTATTTGACTATGATAAGCTGATTGCAGAATAGTTCATCCCACATCCTGTATAAGTGGAAAACATCACAGTAGTGCTGCCCATTCCTTCCACTACTGAAGGGAAACCATTGCCTAATTAGCAGCAAAGATGTGGTGAATAAGCCCAGAAAACGAACCCACGAATCAGCACCTTTACTGAAAAGAAAACCTCAATCCATTGGCAAAGAATGGGGATAGCACAGACTTCGGTTTTCTTCTTCCTCTACATGCCCTGATCTGGCTTAGAAAAAGCCACAGAAGAAAAGCGGTAAGGCAAAGGAAGATCCCTGCATTCACCATTTGTACCATCTGTCCATTTTCTTGCCATATTTTTGGACTTTTCAGAAGTGGGAAAATACCAGCCATGTGCTAAGAGTTCTTCTTATCTCTTAAAAACTCTTCTAAGAGAATTTATACCAAAACTTCAAGGATATTGAACTTGTTAATGCTTCTGTCACAGCTGTGAGTGTCAGCTAGAGCTAATTCTTTCCTATCTCTGCCTGGCCAAGCATTGAGATTCCTGCTCCTACACTGTTACCTGGCATTGCAGTATGCATTCTGAATGTCATTATGAGTCCCAAGTGCAGGGTCACCCACTGGCTTGGATTTCACCTGAAAAGGGCTGTTCAGAGGAGTTGAGCCTACTTGTTATTGGGAGGGCTTTGGGAGCTATTCCTTTCCTCTCATCAGTTCCTTCACCATCTGTCTCAAGACACGGACTGCTCCGTTGTGTCCAGGAGAAAATAGGAGACACAGCTTCCCAGATAGGCAAGTACAAGGCTTCCCAGCTGCTTCCTGTACTTTGATAATCTTCCCAGATGGACTTTGAAAATCCTCCCAGAGACACTGACTCCCTTACCTCTGATGGGCAGTTTGCTATCCTACATGGGCCAAGGATCCAAGCTGCACTGTCCCCATGTAGACTTTCTTAAGCTTTTCTATTTTCCTCCATAGAATCATCAAGGTTGGAAAAAACCTTCAAGATTATCTAGTCCAAATTTTGACTGAATACTGCCATGCCCACTAAACTGTACTGCAAAGTACCACATCTACTTGTTTTCCAAAGATGGTGACTCCACCACTTTCCTGGAGAGCCTATTCCAATGTTTAACCACTCATTCTGTGAAGAAATTTTTCCTGATATCCAGCTTGAACTTCCCCTGGTGCAATTTGAAGTATTTTCCTCTTGATCTATCACTTGTTATCTGGAAGAAGAGACTGACCTCTACCTTGCCACAACTTCCTCTCAGAGAGTTGTAGAGAGCAATAAGGTTACCCTTGAGCCTTCTTTTCTCCAGGCTAAACAGCCCCAGCAATCCCTTAGCTTGTGCTCCAGACCCTTCACCATCTCTATTGCCCTTCTCTGGACATGCTCCAGCACCTCAATGCCCTTCCTGTGTTGAGCATCCCAGAACTGAATACAGGATTTGAGGTGTGGCCTCTGTACAGGGGGATGATCCCTTTCCTGGCCCTGCTGGCCACACTACTCCTGGTACAAGCCAGGATGTCATCAGCCTTCTTGGCGCCCTGGGCACACCTGGCTCGTGTTCAACCAGCACCCCCAGGTCCTTTCCCACTGGGCAGATTTTCAGCCACTCTTCCCCCAGTCTGCAGCAGTGCATGGTGCTGTTGTGACCCTGCTGCTAACAGGACCTGGCACCTTGTTAAACCTCATACCATTGGCTTTGGCTCATCACTCCAACCCATCCAAAGCCCTCTGCACAGCCTTCCTACCCTGCAGCAGATCAAAACTTCTGCCCAGCCTGGTGTCATCTGCAAACTGACTAAAGGAGAGCCCTTGATCCTCTCATCTAGATTTTCAACAGATGTTAAACACATCTGGCCCCTATACTAAGCCTTGTGGAACACCACTGGTGACTGGCTGCCAACTGGATTTAACTCCAATCACCTCAACTCTTTGGGTTGGGCCATCCAGCCAGTGTTTTACCCAGCAAAGAGTACACACATCCATGCCATGGGCTGCCAGTTTCTCCAGGACAATGCTGTGGTAAGATAGTGTAAAAGGTTTTACTAAAGATTAGATAGACACCATCCACAGCCTTTCCTTCTTCTACTAAGTGAAGTTCACCCTGTCATAGAAGGAGAACAGGCTGGCCAAGCAGAACAAACCTTTCCTAAACCCATGCTGGCTGGGCTTGATCCCTTTGTTGTTCTGCACCTGCCATGTGATGGCACTCAAGGTGACCTGTGCCATGATCTTCTGTGGCACTGAGGTCAGGTTGACGAGCCTGTAATTCTCAGATCCTCCTTCCAGCCCTTTTTGTAGATGGGTTTCACACAGGCTAATCTCCAGTCCCCTGGGGCCTCTCTGGCTAGCCAGGACTGCTGATAGATGATGGAAAGTGGCTTGGTGAGCTCTTCTGCCAGTTTTCTCAGTGCCCTTGGGTGGGCTCCATCCAGCCCAAAAAATTTGGGAGTGTCTGAGTGGCACAGCTTGCCACTAACTACTTCCTCCTGGATTATAGGGGGTTTATTCTGCTTCCTGTCTTTGTCTTCTAGCTCAGGGAGGTGGGTACCCTGGGGACATCTGGTCTTTCTGTTAGAGACTGAGGTAAAGAAGGCATTAAGTAGTCTCATCCTTAATGACAATATTCACCTGCCAAATCAAATAAAGGGTGGAGCTTCTCCTTGACCCTCTTTTTGTTATTAATGTATTTGTTATTTTTGATAACAGTAGCTAGATTGAGTTCCAGCTGGACTTTCTTCTTTCTAATTTTCTCTCTGCAGGACCAAACTATATATCTGTACTCTTACTGAGTACATCTTGCTGCTAAGATGAGTACAAAAAAACAGATTAGCTTTTTTTGTAAATAAACAAAATATTAAGTAATCTACAGTGGTTTTCTGTCCTTTGGGTGAGGGGAACTGATTAACAACTTTTCTCAACAGGGAACTAGGTAAAGTTTTGCTCAGACTAATACACCTTTAGCTCTCGTTCCTACTCCCTGCCCCAAGGGACTCAGACTCCTAAAAAACAGAGTGGAGTTAGAGGTGATCCTGTGGCAAGCTCCTGAGGACTGTCCTGCTGGCTCAGTATTTTCAACACACACACACACACACACGCACACACACACACACACACACACACACAACCCCCTCGCTTTTTGTGAAAATGTTGACAGCTTTGGAGCTGGCAAGCTGCTAGCGCAGCTTTCGCAGCCATGCTGGGTGTGATGTGTGACACACCGCGGCAGGAAGCGCTCAGCGTCAGATCTGGCGATAACCGGACCTTGCTTCCAGGAAGACGAGATCATGTGGTCCTGTGTGTGAGTAACGCGGGCTGAGAGTGCCAGAGTCATTACACCCTCAGTGATTTGGGGACCTTTTGGGCTCCCAAGAGCCCTTTGGAAATGTCACACGGGGAGCAGTCACACGCCGTGTTCTCCCCTCCGAGCCCACGCGAGCGCGGCGTGTGGTTCGCAAAGCCACAGAAACACGCCACAGCCATGTCTGCCAGTACCAGAGGCGAACCAAAGCTGAGCAACAGCACTGGGTGGAAAATATTGGTGTGGAAAATATCAAGCTAACAGCCACAGGCACGAGTCCTCTCTTTATCTTAAGCCCAGAAACAGCAAAGATAGCTGTCACATCCCTCATCTCCTTTCCAAGATACCTTGTTCATAAATAGATACCACTCTCAGCCTCCTCCCACATCTCCTTTTTTTTTTTTTTTCTGTGAAAAAACAGAAAGCAAGGGGTACTTGCAGTAAAAAAATTCCTCTGAAGTCAGATCTGATCAAGGGTTTGGGTCCTTGGTTGATTCAAAAGCCTGTGGTAATAGATGTGGTATGCTTACTTAGATAGATCAGATTCAGATTCTACATTTTTCGTTCTGCTGAAAACACCAGAAAATTTAGATTCTTCTTTCCAGGAAAATTTAACTCAAAAAAATAAGGTTTTTGGCATTGAGAAATATCCTCAGATGGGTTCTGACCCACTGTGGCAAGCCCCTCATAGTGTAAACTCAGAAAAGCTATATATAAATACATTTGTGCCTAAAGATGCTACTTGTCCCTCATTATCTGTGGAAATTCTGGTTCAAAGTAACTTTTAAAAGTGAAATAAGGTTTAAATCTCTTGATTCTGAAAGCATTCTCAGTCAAACACTACAGCTTTCTACCTACATTGAATGTTTATCAACTAGAATCCACCATGAGGCAACTACAGCAATGGCTTTTGGTCTTCATGCAGTCCCAGATAAACCTGGTCCAGTGACAGAGCTGAAAAATATCTATCCCTGCACAGCTGCCAAAATGAGCCCAAGCAAGCCCTGGCCTAAATAAGCTCAACCCCAGGTCGATGTCACTGGCTAGAGCTCAGCCCTGAGTCAGGAGCCACCCATTTATTGATAGAGTAACTCTGTTTTCTCTGCTCTAGCTGCTTTCTGTGACAAGCAAAGGGGCACATACAGACCTGCAGGACTGTAAGCAGAAGGTCATGTAGGAAAAGTAGCTGAGGAGGACCTGGGGCTGGAAGAAAAGCAAATGCAGGGAGATATGGGAGGTTGTGCAGCTGAGTGTGGGGAGCCCAGTGTCAGGAGACTGGGCAGCGAGAAGTGCAAGAAGACAAGAGGGAGTCTCTGAGGCTGGCACTGAGAGGCACTGTGCTTTGCTTCCACCTGATGAACACTGTGGTAACCAGACCTGCTCTCTGCTGCTGTCTTCCCTCCTTCCAGCCATCTACCCCTGCCAGCCAGCATCTGCTCCATCCCTGTGCTGGGGAGCACACACCGATGGGACCAGAGAGGGTGGCTAAGAAATGCAGCAGTTGCTCAGCAGCTCCCCGTCCCCTGAGGAGGACAACGTAAGCCATCTGCACCAATCTCCTGAGCTGCTCCTCTCTGCACAGCTAGAGGTGCTCCTACCTTGACATTTTCTGGATTTCCCCTGCTCAGCCTGCAGATCTTCTCCCGCTTTAAGCCTCCAAACCCTCCATTTCAGAAAAGAAAAAAGCCGCTGTGCAGGGTGCGCTGACCCACCGCAGCAGCATGGTGCAGGACAAAGGCCGAGCTGAAGGGACGTGCCACCAGGTTATTGATCACTGAGGAGACCTTGAGCTGGGTAAATAGATGTCCTGCTTCCTCCCCCACTCCCTGCAGGTGTGAGCAGGGGTGTGGGCCAGGTCTCACAGGCAGCAGCAGGCTTTAGAGGTAGGTCTGCAGCTCTGGGGGAAACCTCGGTGCCTGCCATCAAATCTACTAACAAAGAGGCTCTTCTGCTGCTTCCTGCCCTCCCTCCCCTGCCCCTCCATCTGCGCTCGTGTGCTTATGCCTGCTGTTTCTGAAGGGATGCTGTGGTAGTGGAGAGGTGCCCTTGCTCTCCTGGACTACCCAGTTTGGCTCCTTGGGGAGTAGAGCCTTCCCAGGGGTTGCACAGGAAGGTGCCCCACAAGGAGCAAGGGAGGGCAGTCTGCGCTGGGCCTCTTTGTACCACCTGCTCCTCTGGAAGGGCGTGTTAGAGCAAGTGGATGTGTGACTGCCTGTCTGAGTGTGGATGTTCACCAGGCTGGGTTTGATGTTCTGGAGTGAGTTACCTAGTGCTTACATTCTGCAAATGCATTTCCATGTTGCAAGGCAGCCTGGAGGGCTTGGGGCTCCATAACTGGGGGGACGAGGCTGAAAAGCCCACTCATCCTTATCAGGTGATGCTCAGTGGCATCCACATGGGCTAAAACCTGCGTGAGGGCAGCCACCTCTTCCCCCAGCTGCAGCAAGTCCCTCCCATGCACTTCTCTCCCCATGTTCACATGCACCACTGGGAACAAAGACGACTCACAGACAGGACACAAGCATTCCACAAGACCTCTGTGTCCTCCCATGAAGATGCATCCACATCCCTTTCCTCTCCAACCACAGAAACACAGAAAACCTTTGAGGGCAGGCATGTACTGTGTGGTGGCAAAGGAAAGTGGGTGACAAAACCAATATTAATGTGGCTCTTTTGGGCAATGGTATTTCTCACCCTCAGAACGTGGGGCTGACAGAAGAGAAGCAGCCAGGAAGAAGCAAAAGAAGCAATTTGGGGGAGATGAGGGGCAAAGGAAGACAGAAGGTGTCCCCTGGAACAAACAGGTGGTGGTGAAGGGCTGAACATTATTCAGGTGCTCTCTTCTCATTAGCTCAGCTATTGAGCCAGTGCCAGCATTGGCTTTGCCTGGGAACACACGGCCTGGTGGGAATGGCAACGTTTGCTTACTTTTAGGGATCAAGATAAAAATGGAACAGCAGGCAAAGTGTAACTTCAGGTTCCCAGGCAGTGGCTGCTTTGTGCAGCTTTTGCTCACATTTCAGGTCACCCATTTTCTTCCACATTGATTTCTAGATCAAAAAAAATACTAGTTTTAAAACAACTCCCAGCCTGGGAGGACAACACTTCTGTATTCAGAGAAACTCATTATTGTACTAATTTGCACTTTTGACAGAAGAAAAACCCAGGGAATGCCTTTGAATACCAATGGATTACCAGGAGATGTAGACAAGACAGTGTCCTGGGAGCCTGTCTCCCACCGATGTAGCAGTTTTACTCACATTTGCTCTGAGCAAAGTCTTTGATATTTGCACAGTGATCTCTTGGGGCCGTACATCTTGGGAGAGGAGGACAGATTTGGCATAACACCTTCAGAGAGGGTGTGAGGGGAAACAGAAAAACCAGCCTGACCCTGGCATGCTGTGTCACCAGACGCGCCTGATGGAGGCCGAGGAACAGGAGGAAGACTCCAGCTCCCTCTCAAATGACAAATCAGAAAATAACTCACGTCGCTGCCTCCGCTATGTGCCCCTTGGGATAGCCTTTCTTGTGCTGGCTGGAGCTGCTGCAGCAACCTGGTATTTCCTAGGTAAAAATTCACGTTTTTTCTCCCCAGAGGAGGCGGGGGCGGGGGGGGGTGGGTAGTCAAAGCAATGCCCAGCCCAGAGCACATTAGTGCCTCTGGGTGGCCTTTAGACAGTCACACACAGGGGTAACCCCCTCTCTCCTATGTATCACTAAGGTGACCCGGCAGTGTCTTCTCTTGGCAGACTACAGACCATGGCACGTGGAGCCCTCCATCCTGCAGTTCTACTGCGGCAGCCTCCAGGTCCTCAAACGCCGCTACTCCCCGGAGCTGGGGCAGGTGGAGTCCAGGGCCTTCTGGGTGGAGTCAGCTAAGCTCCAGAGCATGGTGAGGGCACTTTCCTCAACAGAGCCAGCCCTGAGGCTGCCCACTGAGTCGGATGAGGAAGGGCTCAGGCACCCCCATCCAAGGGCAGGCTTGGGCAGGCTGTACAGCGAGCGGGATGAAAGGTGGGATCAGGCACTGTAACATTGCCCTGTAGTTATAGGACCTCATTCTCATTGCAGCTGAAGGAACTGATTCGTGCCACAGAGCTGGGTCAGTACTACAACTCCAGCACGGTGTATGCCTTTGGGTGAGTAGCACCTGCAGCATATCTGCTTGTTCCTGTGTGAAAGCTTCCAGAAAACTGTACTCTGGTTTCACTGAAATCTGCCCACGACAAACGTCTGCAGACCCTGCCATGACCTCCAAGCTAAGCTGGACAGTCAAGGCTCAGAATTGCTCCAGCATAATAGAGCTGGGGATATTTTGATGCTCCTCTTCATCCCAGGTCATGATGAAAAGCCAAAACTGAGAAATTTTTCAGAGAGGCAAAAGTTCAAGAGAGTAAAAAAAAACTAATTGGGAAAAGATTAAAAAAAATTGTCTTGGCATTGTCAATAGAAACCAAGCAGCTGGAAATTAATTTTTCTAATTCAAGAAAACTATTTTATGGCCTGACTCTAGGCACAGAAGGGAGAGGCCAGATTGCAGCGTGGAAAAGTTATTCCCGCCAAGAAGCCTGGACCATCTGGGAACAGGATAACAGGGGAATGGGACAGATGTGGGACTACAGCTTTCCAGGTCATAACAGTAGAACAGGATAGCAGAAAAGATTTCCAGACTGATGGTAATTTGCTTCTGATTTTATTCCTATGGAAAACCACACCCCTAAATTTGTCCTTTACCTAAGGAATATTCCAGCTTTGACGTAATTCCATTTTCAATTGGGAAAGAAAAGTTTCACTTGCACATCTTCCTCTGGCGTTTTACTAAACAAAGATGTGTTGCAACATCTCCTTGCCTTCCCCCAGCCAATTTTCTCAGCCAGCTGGTTGAACAGAACTTTCCCAGGCACAGTCTCCTGCAGCTTTAGCCTGCCCAGCATTAATGGGTTGGGGTAAGGTATCTGGTCATAAATCATCCACTTGTCACCACTGGGAGATGAGACAGTGAAGTCTTGAGCTTCTCATTTCAACCCCTGGTCAGTAGTACCCAAAGGTCATTTCTTCCTGAAATGAGACTACTCATTAGACTAGTCTTGATTAATTATCATAATAATTTGAGCTCATATGGTCATCAGTAAAGCCAGATGGCATGGAACGGCTTCTTCCCACGAAGCACTGACTCACACCATGGATACTGCAGCTCTCCTGCCCCACTCAGAGAAGTTCCTCTGGGTCACAGCAGCAGAGTTGGAAAATCTACACATATATGTCTGATTTATGGAGAAATAGTGGGGAGGGTAATTCTCCAGGGTTTGTCTCTCCAGTAATTCTGGAGATGATGAGCAAGACTATTTTTTACATGCTATTTCTCTGTTAGGGAGGGAGCTCTGACCTTCTTCTTCTGGTTCACCCTCCAAATCCCTGAGAGTCAGCAGAAGGAGGCAACTGCTGAGAGGGTAAACACAGTGCTCCACCAAGAGCTCTCCACCAGCTTCAACAGCTCAGGCAGCCTGTCCTACCAGACAGAGTACAGGCTCAACCCAGACTCTCTGGTTCTCCTGGGTAAGTACCAGCTGCTCAGCTGTGGCCTGAGCAGTCAGGAATGCTCCACGATGCAGAAGGTTAGGAGCAAAGGCCAGGAGTCTTTTGAAGGAGATGGAGGAAACCTGAAGAGGAGGAGGGAAATAGCAAGGATCAGGAGATACAATGTTAGGCATTTTTTTCCTGATAGAGAAGAACTGAAGTTTGATTTTAAAAAAAAATTCCTTCCTTTAAAGGATTGAAATTATTGGAGATACACCTGACCATGATCAGATAGGTGATTCTTTTTTCACCCATCAGCTTTGGCTTTTGTAGAGCAAGGTCTTAGACAGGTCATGACTTTGATCAGCTCAGCTTGAAAATACCAAGCACTTAGGTTTGCTACTTTCCTTTGGGAGATTATTCCAGACTGTTTGATAGAGAGAACAAAAGCAACATATCTGAGTCACCACTAAGTCTTCCTCTGAGACAAAGCATCTTTGTCATTTCAGTTCCTGACATATGATTTTAAGGATTATTTATTGTTGCTCACAGTGAAGGTCACAGCCTGTTTAAAAAGCCATCCATGCAAAACTACTCCAGAGCAGCTGTTAGGTAAGGGGCCAAGGATATATATGTAATCAATGCATACAAGTCCAATGGAATTTATATCTGATCAATGTAATGAGGCTTAACTTGCCAGCCTTGTCTGATCCCTCTTACAGAGTACCAAATCTCACAGGTTTTAAAATACACCGCGTTTCTTCTCCTCCTCTTGGGACTCCTATTTCCAAGTTTCTTCTTCCCATGAGATGTTCAATCTCCAAGTTGTTTGTTTTGGGTTTTTTCCCCCCAGGCATGGCGTCTTGCATTATTCTAAGATGAAGTTTCTTTTGTTATATCCTACCCATACTTTCTTTAACTTTTACCCCCACATCCCAACTGTTTTGTGGGTCATTTTTTGGTGCCTGTAAAGAAAATTCGATTTTCCCTAAATGATTTTCACTCCCTCATCCAGACCATCATTTTAAGGTCTTAGTCAGAAGATGCATCAGCATCTCATCAAGACATCTCCTCCCACAGTTACCATTGGCTTCTTACTTCTACTTATGATTTGTTTCCAGCATACCAGATCCTATGCTCAGCCAATATAAATGAACTTTCTTTACAAAGATATCACAAGGAAATATGCTAAATCCTTCCAAGTCAGCCCATCTAGCATTTTCCTTTTATTTGTTCACTTCATTATGCAACCCATAAACAAATAAAAATGATGGTGCCATAATTTTAGCTGTTCCCAGTTCCCTCTTATTTGCTCTGCATCTGTTTCACTGTTTTATTCATTTCACCAGACCACACTTCTTTCTATTTTGGACTTAGCACACCAGTTGTAGTTTATCCAGCTCCTTCTGCTTTCCCTAGTCCTATCCCTCTCCAGTCAGAAGCACAGTCTGATAACTGAGACAAAAGCCAAAAATTTCTTATACTGTTGAGGCAGGGTGGCCTCCAGCCAGTGACTTCACCTCTGGTGTCTTTTGCCCTGTACAGAGTGGAGAAGCAGCCAGCCAAGAGCAGCCATTAGCACTTCATTGCTTTCGGGCAGACTCTTGCCGGCCTGCTCAGCTCTAAACTCTGCCTTGGGACTTTGCAGAGCTGCAAACCATTGACTACTGCAGGAACCTCTCCACCATCTCCAGTGCTTTGTTTTTACTAACAGCCACACTCAGTGGCTACCTTGCAGTACACTACCTTCCCCCTTTCTCCAAAAATCGTTCAGGACTTGCTGTTCTCTACAGGAACTCGATTTAATTACCTTCAGATATAGGAGTACTTACTACCAGCTCTGCACAGACTATTCCCTACAGCACACGAGCTTGCCTAGGAGCCTGCCTTATGCCTGCAGCATCCTATTTTCCACAACTGTTTTTGCTATGACAAAACCACTCATCTCTCCCCACGGATTTGCTTGGAAGCTACAAATAACCAAAGCCCTGACCTAGGCAAACCCCCAACAACAATCCTCACACCCAGATGACTTCACAGTGCCTTTTATTTTGGCAATTATTCCCAGTAGCACCTGATCTCTGGCTGATTCCAGTTCAGCTGGGAGGCTGGAGAAAAGCCCATCTGTCTTAAAGTGTCATCCACTCTGTGGCTGATTTGCAGAGATTTGTAGCCCCGATGGTCACTTTCTCTGCAACTCCTTTCTCCAAAGGTGGACTCTGCAAGGATGTTGAGTAACTCATTGCACAGTGGTCATCAAAAGGGAACTCCTCTCCACCCTCAGTGACTCCCATATTTTTGATTGGGCATTGTTTCAAGCGGGAGAGCAGATGGAGAAGGCTCTGGGAAGTGGGGCTGTGCCCTGTGATGTGGCTGGCAGGGGAGGGGGATGTCTGCCTGAAGCAATGCCCAGCCCTTGAGGGAAGGGGAAGAGGTCCTGGAACAGCACACTAAAATGGGCAAGGAAAAAGGCAGAGAAGTTCCTGGTGGGCTGGAAAGCAGGAATTAGGGCTGTTGGATTTGGGTCAAGGGCAGAGAAATTTCCCAGAGAGATGGGCTGAGGAAGGCATGACTAAAACAACACCCTGAAAGCAGACACAGAGGTACCTAGAGGATGCCCCATGCTGAAGCTGTAAGTGAGCTAGTTGCAGAAGGAAGGAAAGGAGTCCTCACCTACCATACAAGGTGATCAGATTATCTTATTTTATCCAGTTTATATTTTTGTTTATCTTCCTTTATGTGTTTTCTTTCTAACAGAATCCAGTATGAAAGACATAGTAGTGCTGCAGTCCACTCTGGGTAGGCTACCTTCTCCTTTCCTTTTGAGTTCATGACCTTAAGGGAGGGATTTTCACTGGGGACAGAAAGCTTGTTGGCCTCCTGGAGTTGTAAATCCTGGGGAGGGGAGAGTAGCAGCAAGGGTGCATCAGTGCTGCTGCTTGGCCAGATCCAAACTACATGACTGCTATGTACTGGATGGCTCTGGGCAGAGATGCCAGCTGCCAGGGGCAATGCAGCCACCTCAGACTTGTCCAGGTCCTAATGAGAACTGTGAAATAGCAGGGTATACTGGCACCACAGTGCTGATTCCAGGCCCCATGCCATGCTGCTGTTGGGGTGGGGGTTTCCTGCATGGTTTTGCATTGGATGTGCCTCATTTAGGAGTCTGTTGTCTTGGCAATGTTTGAAGATGCTTTTAGTTTTTTCAGGCAGTGTTGTAAGTTCTCTGTCTGGCAGCTTGCATTAGATATGCTATTAGAAGCTCACCTTTAAGCTGATATTTACTCAAAAATCCTGGTGTGAAAGTCTTCTGAAACCTGGAATTCAGATGAGGGAGATCTGAAGCCAGGAAGAATATGGGGCTGAGAGGAGAAAGAGGTGAAAAAGTAAATAAAGCCAGTGGAAGATAACTGTGCTGTGCTGGTATTTAAAGCCTGAGGTAGTGTTAGGTTAACCAAGGAAGGGGGGACAGTTCTTAGAGAAACTGGGGCAATGGTACAAAAGGATCAGTGCCACCACAACATATGTAAAAGTAAACCGAGATCACTGGGATGAGTCAGCCTTACCCTAAAAAAGGGCTTGCACTGATATAGCAAGGGACAATCCCATATCTCTATTTCTCATACAACCACATCTATTTCAGGTTGCTACAGGTACAGCTATGTCCAGGAGGATGATGTCCTAAGGCTGGAGGGCCCTGATTACCTGGCCTCCAGTTGTCTTTGGCACCTGCATGGCCTCAAGGGCTACATGATCAAGCTGCGGCTGGAGTGGACCCTGCCTGACTGCAGGGACCGCCTGGCCATGTACGACGCAGCCGGGCCCCTGGAGAAACACCTCATCACCTCGTAGGTTGCTCCTGAGCAGGGAGAACGTGCTGGGGGAGGCAGGCAGGATGGCACGACACACCACAGCAGGGGAAGGTGTCAGACGACATCAAAGGAGGTTCTCCTTGATGTGCAACCTGTCTGTTATTGCTCAGCTCACTGATGTGGGATATGTCTTAAAACCATGCTGCAGGAGCTGCTGCTGTTGGCCCTTTGCTTGGTTCAGAGATAGCACCTTACAACTGCTGTGTGTGGATCACACAGATATCCACTGCCTCTCTTTTTCATTCTTCTCTTTCATTTGTTTACTGCTTGCTTCACTCCCATCCTTTGATCTCTTTCCCTGAGGATCTATGGCTGCAGCCGGCAGGAGCCCATAGTTGAAGTCCTTTCGTCTGGCCCTGTCATGTCTGTTGTGTGGAAGAAAGCCATGTACAGCTACTATGACCCTTTCATCCTCTCAGCACAGGCGGTGCCCCTCGAAGGTGAGGAAGGCTGGAGGAGAGTGGCTATAGTTACAGGGAGAAAATTGGTTTTCTCCTACAGTATCACAGCTCCTAGAGGTCCTGCATCCCTGTTAGGGGCAGAATTCATTCTGGATTGCAGGGGTAGTCAGTAAAAGGCAGGTTACATGGCCTCCCTGGGCTGAGGCTGAGCTGACAGAGAGCAGGGCTTTGAATGTCTGTATTTACAGCTTGTGAAGTGAACATAACTCTGCGGGAGAGCCTGGAGCTACAGGGGAAGATCGGCACCCCACACTACCCCAGTTACTACTCACCCAACACACAGTGCACCTGGCACATGACGGTAAGAGCCAGCTCCCACAAGAGCACCCACCCTGTCCCCAAAACCAGGGCAGCACTCTGCACATTGTGGGGGTACAGCCAGGGCTCTCAGTCAGATCATCATGAGAAGCAAGAAGAGGGTGACAGCCTGCCCAGCCTCCACATAAGGTGTGTTTCTGAAGGGGAAGAAGTCTAATATTGCATGCCAGCACAGAGATGCTGTAGCTGAGGAGGAATCTGAAATCTGATCTCTGGAGGGGTTCTTCAAAACAGAACTAGATTGATAGGAATTGATAAGAATTGCCAGGCTTTGATACCAGCAGCAGAGCCACCCTGGGCTGTGGCATGGCTCCAGTTTAGAGGGTGCTTCTTTCTGACTACAGTGTGGTCAGAGACACCTGGCCTTCCCATTTACTCTGCTCATGTCTGACTTACGGAGTGTGCTGTAACACTCCCAGGAGCCATCTGCCCTCTGCCCCTGCTCTGCACCCCCTTGTCTGCAGGTCCCATCCCTCGACTATGGGGTCACCCTCTGGTTCGACGCCTACGCGCTCAGCAGACAGAAGCACGACCTGCCCTGTACCCAAGGCCAGTGGATCATTCAGAACAGAAGGTGTGTGGTGGGGTCCTGGTTTCTGTCTCTCACTTCCCACCTGGGATAAAACAAGGATTAAACCTCTGCGGGTTCCCTGCTCACTTCAGCCACCATATGTGAGGAAGAAGGGCCATACGCTGAGCTGCACTCAGTGACCACTCTTTGTGCTAGTGCCTCCTGCTTTTCTGCTAATCCTGTTCACTCTCTCCCCAGTGAACACATTTCTCACAGATTTGCTTCAAGCTACCAACCTTTCTCTGTCTTGCTGTTCGCATCAGGCTTCTTAGTTTTCTCCTGTGTGTGTAACCTTGGTGTCCTCCCACGTCTCCTGTGTTTGCAAATCTGCCTGTCACCACCTCTGCAATATTATCTGTGTGTGCCATTGCCTTGCAGCCACCTCCGTACAGATCTTCCCCTTAGTTCCATATCCTCCTGCTTTGACTGCAGCCATTTCCCTGCAGGACTTCCCAAAAATAGCATCCGTATGTAGCTGGGGCCACTGCTCACCACTGCCCAGGTGAAAAGGATGGAGACCTGTTGTGCTCCCATCTCCTCAAAGCTGGCTCTGAGACAGATGGACCTATACCTTTTGGTTTTCCTCCCACTTATTGCAAAATTGCCTGTTTCCCTCCAAAACCGCCCCCAATCCACCTCATTAGTGCCTTCTCCATGGTTCCTGTAGGGGTAACTTCTCTTCCTAGGAAGATCTGATCTAGAAGTTATGTTACCCTGGCTTAGGATTTCCACTTTTTCTCTCCCTGCCTCCCTCTCTTAAACTGTCAGTGCCACAGTTTCTACAACATGGCTTCTTCAGGAAGATTACGAAGGAGAATCTTCTTACGCTATAAAAACCGAACTGCTTTGTATGGCCTGATCTCTGTGCTTTCCAGAAAGCAGGAAAAGTCCAAAGACAGGAGAGTCCCTCTGGACTCTGTATCTCATGCATACTGAAAGCACTTTGTATTTCTGGTTTGCCCGCAGCACCCAGTCTGTGTGACCCCTTCCCACCCCAGCCCCACGCAGCCCCCTTGCCCTGCTTTGTCCCTGCCTCCCTGTCCAGCCCACCTTGCCTGTGTTTGCCCCTCAGGTTGTGTGGCCTGCGGACCCTGCAAGCCTACGCTGAGCGGATCCCAGTCACATCTTCTGCTGACGTCGCCATCACCTTCACCTCGCAGATCTCCTTAACTGGCCCTGGCGTACAGGCAGCTTACAGCTTGTACAAGCAATCTGACCGTAAGCTTGGCTTCTTCCCTGCTCCTTTCTGGGGGCCCAGCAGCCCCTCTGCACTTGGCTTGTGCTGGGAGAAAACACAAGGCACAACTCAGGAGCCCTAGGTACCATCCACCCTTCAGGAAGATGCTCACAAATCAGTGATCCCCCCAAAAGAAGAAGCAATTATGTGCAAAGCTGTTTCTGCACATGTGGCCCTGCCTCTTGTGGCCAGAGCATCCATGCAACAAAACCCAAAGTCACAAAATTGCCTAAAATCTTACCCTCAAGTCAACATCACAGACTGGCCTTGGGAATTCAATGAGAAAGCAACTCCGCTTGAAACAACATTTGTTTTGATTACAAGATCTCTTAGAGAGAGCTGTTTCCTGCTCACCTTGGAATCCGTGCAAACAAGAGACGAATAAAACCGCACACAAATACACACATATGCAAATGCCACCCACAGTCTGTCTTTCCAAGGTTTCACCATCTCCCTCCTAAAGGGTGCCAGTAATGCACACCAGTCCCTGAATATGTGCACCTGTCAACGTGTCTAACAACAAGCCCTTCAAGGTCCCACGTAAGTTTTGATAGCAACTCCAAAGAGCCTGTTTCCGCTTTCCTGTGGCATTCAGGAGACATGAAACAGCCGTGATCCTGATATGGCGTGCCAGACAGATGGCTGTCCTGGATATTGCCCACTGGTACCATGCAAAACAGTGAAAGCCTTCTTTCCCCTGGTGCATATCCTGGCTCCATATGTCCCCGTTAAGAGCAGATGACATGGCAGATTTTGGGGAGTGCAGTACACTGCAGCAGCACTCTTGTGGTCAGGAGAGTGTGCAGTTCAAGCCATGGTGCTCTGCTGCCAGGAGGTTTCCAGTCACTGGGAACTAATTACTCTCTTTTGGTTTCACAGCCTGTCCTGGGGAGTTTCTGTGTTTGGTGAACGGTTTGTGTGTCCCAGCCTGTGACGGGATCAAAGATTGCCCCAATGGGCTGGATGAGAGAAACTGTGGTGAGTGATTTCTTCTCCCTGCTAGTCCCTAGTCTCAGCAAGACACAGCCCTTTGCTCCTCTGAAGGCAGGGAGGAGATTTGGGTGGCCAAGTCACAGCCTTGTACCTCAACTTTAGGAACTTAAACCTCTGTGCCCTTGGAAGTCTCATCCCACTGCTATATGGCTTTAGCCTGCTCTGGAAAGAGCAGTAATGCTTCTGGCTCCTGTCACAGTACAGCCTTCCTGTGAGAGTCCCGTAGGAGCACCAAGAGTTCCAGGCAGCCTGAAAGAAGCCCCCTGCCCAAGCTGTCCCCCACCTTGTCCTGCTTTCCTCCCACCCAGGGTCTACAACCAACCTCAGCCCTGGCCTAGAGCCTCCTCTGCTGTCACACCCCTCAGCATCCCACTCCCTGCTCTCACCTCCCCTAGCCCACCTGCTGCCCTTTCTCTGCTTTCCCCCCCAGCCATTTGTGACACTTCATCTGTACAGATCCTCACTCATATATTTTGCCCGAGTTTGGGAGCATCAAAGTCCTTGATCAGCCTCAATCAGTTCTTCATGCCAAAAGCAGTGCTGATTCAGGCTCCACTCTTAGCATCTCAGAACTTCTGCAGAGCCCCATTCTCATAGAAACAGCAATTCAGGCTTAGACATGGCACCTAATTCATCTATTCCCTCACCTCTGGTGTGATGGGAGGCTCATCATATTGCTGCCACCACTAACTTTTCATTAGTTGTTTCCTATAGATGTTTCTTTCACAGATAAAGAGCCCTGAACCACTGGAGAGAGTGGCCAGTTTTGAAAGATTCAGAGGAAGCTGTAGGAAAAGTCTAAAGTCAAAGGAAGGAAAAATCTTTCTAAAGAAGCTTTAATTCAGTGCTAGAAATGTGAGACCTCACATAAGATTGCCAAAGTTGGGTTTTGTATTGTCTGCAGTGTTGCTGACAATGTGCTCTGTCCCATCATCCAGCTGTCTGACATCAGGGTTTGCATGCTTCCCTCCTGTAGACATGGATACATTTGCATCCTTATGAATATCTAATCTTTTCTTGAATCCTGGTATCTCCTTGGCCCCAGGGATATCATGTCCACAGATTGGCACAGACCAAGACTGACAGAAACCCCACACTCTGTGTTTTCCAATATTATTTATATTTGAAAAAGAAAATAGAAACATTATTATTTCCTTCCATTCTTATACTCTTGCCACTACTGCATCTCTGGTTATTCACTCTATGTTGGTATGGAATAATCTCTGTCTTTAAAATCAAAGTTCAAGTTGCCTCAGACCTTTATGTACCTTTAGTCATCTAGAAGCTTCATGCTATTAATGAAAAAAATATAGTCATTGCAGTAAGAAAATGGTACACACAAACAGAACAAGTTCCTGCTGTGGAAATCTGTGGACAGAAGTCAAACTCTGTGGTGGGCAGGCAGCTTAGACCCATCTCCATCCTCCAGTGTCCACCAGAGCTCATGGACATTATGGAATCCTGTGTTGTTCAGGACTCAGCTGCAAGGGGAAGTGCTGGTTTGTGTGGAACAGTGACCCATGAGCTGGGGTTGACAGCAAGGCAGGAGGAACAGTGACCTCACCAGACAGGATGCAATCCTACAAAACCCTAACAAGGCAAGCAGATCAGGACTGCTGGTGGTAACTGAAGAGTCCAGGGACCTCAAGACAAGTACATAGTGCTGAGGTGGGTCTGAGGCCAAGACAAGAAAAGTTAAGTCAGCAACAGTGAAGTGTAAGACAGAGTGCAGGCATAGCTAGAATGCAGATCAGGCAAAAGTTACACAGCTGCACTAAACCAGAGCTGGTCTCAAGCACAGCTTATGAGGTGGGGGTAGAGGCTGCAGAGACTGCAGGACTTATGACCCTGACCTCACACCTTGTCTGCCTGATTCCCCCATGCTTCCCTCCTGTGCAGTGTGCCCTGCAAAGTTCCAGTGCCATGAGGACAGCACTTGCATCGAGTTCAGCAGGGTCTGCAACCAGCAGCTGGACTGTGTCAACGGGAGTGATGAGGAGCACTGCAGTGGAGGTAGGGACGGGACAGTGCTGGGATGACAAATGCCCACCCCTGTGTTCAAACCAAGGCTGTCTGTGGAGTACTTCCCACATGTGACATAAGGGCACCATTGGGGAGTTAGCTCGCCCAGCCTCCTCACGATGTTTGTGAGCCATTTGTTTGTTCAGGAAATTCCCTGGCATCATTTATGGAGTTCCCCCAAGCTCTTCTGCTGCCCTTTCTTCTCGTTTAAAGGACTTCAGGCTGTATCTACAACCAGCTGTCCTCTCTCAGTCTTGGCTTCCCTTCCTTTTTGCAGGGGTCCCCTGCGGTCCTTTCACCTACCGCTGTGAAGATGGGACCTGTGTGAAGAAACCCAACCCACTGTGTGACACCACTGCAGACTGCAAGGACCTGTCTGATGAGAATCACTGTGGTGAGGAAATGATCAGCCACACATCAGCCAGACAGGTTCAGGATGACACGTAGCTGCAAGTTGCCCCATTTTCTCCCACCACCCAGAAGAAGCAGCCACCCTCCCTTGTTCCACCACCTTCTCCCCACCTCAGTCCTACAGTACCAGTGTCCCTGCTCCACCCTGCAGTGGCAGGGACAGCAGCAACAAGCCAGCTCTGTGCTGAGTGTGAGCAAGCTCTTGCTCTTTGGACAGCTGCTCCCTGCCTCCTTCAGGCAGAGGCATCAGGCCAGACAGACATGCCTGACAGGCCAGATTCAACCTACAGGCTGCCTGTTTGACCACTCTGTCAGCTAATATGTCATTGTTCAAAGCTCCAGCCAGGAAAATCACCCATGTCTGCATGGCCACTGGCAGGGAGAGAGTTAATGTTTTGATTTCCCTACTTGTTTTTTTTTCTGGAGCCTCAGTAGGCAGTGAAGGAGAATGACAGGGAGGGTTTCCTGACAGCACAGCAGTTAGCACAGTCAGCATGCTGCCCCAAAGGCATCCCCAGGCTGCAGCTGGAGATGGGGAATGCTGGGAGGGAGTGCTCACTAGACCTGTCCTGGGCAGTACATAAAGCATGTGCTGGCTGGGTAAGACAAGCAATTAGAGGTCAAACTCTTCAGTCAACTAAGTAGGAATAGAAGGGCAGGCACAGTGTTTCATGTTCCCTTCCTTCCCTGAAGTACCTGCTGTGTCTCCTCCTCAGACTGTGGGATGCAAGCACCTCTCAGCAGGATTGTGGGTGGTATGAATTCTGTGGAAGGGGAATGGCCGTGGCAGGCCAGCCTGCAAGTTCGGGGCCGGCACATTTGTGGGGGAACACTCGTTGCTGACCGCTGGGTGGTCTCAGCCGCGCACTGCTTCCAGGATGAGAGGTAAACGGAGAAGGGAGGTGCTGGTAGAAAGATTTGCATTGCTTTCCTTGTCATGCGTGATGGGAGGCTCTTATGACTGATGAAAATGACATGGGGCAGCTGCACTCCTCCTCTGGCACCTCAGCCACGCTTCTCCATGGCTTGGAACCGAAGAAAGGGGTATGGATATATGCAGTATTATCCGGTGGTGTGTGCAGAGGAAAAGGGGCAATGCTGAGATTTGCAGAGCAGCTCTCAGGGGGCAGTGATAGAGGAAGATGCTGCACAGCTCCACCTTTGTTTTGGCTCTGTCTTGTCCCCACACTGTCACAGCGATGGAGATGTCAGCATGTGCTAGGATGGGGATAGCATTACCTGCAAAGTGTGCCCTTTGGGTCCCATGCTCCTCTGCTGCATCCTACAGGTTGGCCTCCCCCTCCATCTGGACCGTTTACTTGGGTAAATACTTGCAAAATGCCACCGGCCACACAGAGGTGTCCTTCAAGGTTATCCATCTCTTTCTTCACCCTTATTATGAGGAGGACAGCCATGATTATGATGTGGCCCTGCTCCAGCTGGATCATCCTGTGATCATCTCACCCTTAATCCAGCCCATCTGCTTGCCTGCTCCATCTCACATCTTTGAGCCTGGCCTTCTTTGCTGGATCACTGGCTGGGGAGCCCTCAAGGAAGGAGGTAGGTTCAAGGTCTCTTGGTGGCCTACTGCAGCAGTGCTGAGGCAGAAACATAGGTTCAGATGTGTCATAGGCACAACAGGCTTCTGTTCATCCCAAAACATTGTGCCTCCTTCACTCCTTCTGATTTTGGTATTAGGTTGACCACAGTTACCTGTTGAGTGCCCTGAAACCTCATGTGGAGAGGCAGACATGGCAGTCTGGTAATCTGTATGGGAACAGTGTGTGTTTCCTCATTCAAAGACTAGAATAGCCAAGACTAGAACAGCCCTTCAGGTCAATTTACTGCCTTCACCCACTGACAGACTTGTTCCAGCAGCTTCCCAATTGGAAACACTCAGGAGACTATACAGACCTGAACACTCCTGGTTTGTACTCTTAGACAGAAGAGCTTAACATACCTTTCGGTGAGAAACAAACCCAAGACACTGACAACCCAGAGGTTTCCCCAAAGCAAAATACTTGTCCCAAAAGCTGAAGTACCCACAACATATGCCTGTAGGGAAAGGAATGAAGGGGAATTTTATGCCTTCCACGCAGAAAAAAGTGCTCTGCTCAAAGTCAGAGACTGTGATGCCAGTGGAGAGCGGAACAGAAATTCCAATGGCAGGTTTCAGCATGCAGTGAGGTGGCCATGGTCTAGAGGAAGTTCCACCATAGCCCACCTGTGCTAATTTTGGTGCTCTACTTTTCAGGGCATACCAGCAATGTTCTGCAGAAGGTGGACGTGCAGCTCATCCAGCAGAACATCTGCAGTGAGGCTTATCACTATATGATTACTCCCAGGATGCTGTGTGCTGGGTACTACCAGGGCAAGAAGGATGCTTGCCAGGTGACAGAGGAGTTGTGGGATCAGGGTTGACTACCAGAGGTGGGATGTGTCCCAAGTCTCACAAATGCAATGCACAGCCTGAAATGAGGGGGGTAAAGACCACATAAGGTCACTCTCCCAACACTTCCTCTGATCTAAGCAGCCAACAACGGCTCTCATGACCACTTCTTCCCAGCATCCTTGCCTTAGGATCCAAATACAGTTAAATTACCCTTTTCTCATTTCAGCCCATTCTCCACTCTACCTCCCACTTTCAAGTCAGGTGACTACATCAGTCTCTTACACCCTCAGCCTCTTTAACACCTGTCATACACCATAACCTGTGTGGTCCTTCATTACTATTAACCTCAAGGAATTCCTCTCTGCCACCCCTCATGGAATCCAGTTAAATTCCAACAATCATCCTTGCCTGCCACATACTTGGAAATGCCAGGCGGGCCAGGAGGAATCAGTAGAGCAATCAGCTTTTTAGGACCTGGCTGAGGGGGAGGAATTTGCATGATGAAGGAATAACTGTCAGATGTTTGCACTGCAGACTGTTTTTTACATCTGCCTAAAAGTACAAGGAATGTTACAGATGTCCCAGCCATGAGCTGAGGGGATACAGGGATCTCTATACAGAGGGGCTCAAAGACAACATAATCAGCCAGCAGCAGAAGCTGGTGGATCACCACCACTTGATTTTACTTTTCTTTTTTCTAGGGTGATTCTGGAGGTCCACTGGCCTGCAAAGAACCCAGTGGCAGATGGTTTCTGGCTGGTTTGGTCAGCTGGGGAATGGGATGTGCACGTGCAAATCACTATGGAGTATACACCAGGATCACTCAAGTGCTGGGCTGGATGAACCAAACCATGAGCTGAGAAAAGTGCAACTCTGTCTTCTCCCCATCACACCTACACTCACATGGCACTCATTCCTGATCTTGCTCACTTGCCTCCCGAAGAAAGAGAGTGTGGGATGTTGTCAGACCCAGGATGCTCCTCTGAACTAGGTAAAAAAAGGCTGCTGCAGGGATTGTGGAGAAAAGCAGGCAGACCCTCCTCTCCCTTAGTGCTTCCCAGGGAGCATCCCAAGGGGTTTTTAGGCCATCCATCCAAAAGCAGGGAGAAGGGAGGCAGGTGAGGGAGTCTGGGGCAATGACACACAGCAATAGGCCCAAGCTGATGGTTTCTGAGAAGAGGAATAAGGGGAGTTGAACTTTCCATGAACCATGTGATTCAGCCAGTCTTATGCTGGAACATTTGCTGAAAGAAAATGTGACTGATGTAGTTAGAGATTCCAGTAACTGTGAAATCAATCTGCCTCCCTCTTCCTTCCTGCTGCTTATCCTTCATCCCCCTTCCCCTCCCATCACTCCTCCTCTTCCATCTCCCTAATTGCTTCTTTTCTTAGCTGGCGTGTGCTGCTCAGTGTGCTGTTCAGCTCAGCCAGCCAACTCTTCACGTCTCACTGACTCCCAGGCATGAGCCCAGCATCGCGCCCCCGAGCACGTGTCCTGCCTCCCTGCTGGAGCAGCACCCAGCCTCCACTGCTGCACCTCCCCCAGTAAAAATGCTGGAGCAGACTCCCATCCCTTCCCTCAGCCCTTCTAAATACCTTTAACATCAGGGCATCTCAACCTCTCCCATCTCCTATCTCAGGTAATGCAGGAGACAAAGGAGAAGGTTTCAGGGCACAGGGCTTAAACTGCAACTGCTGCAGGTTTGGTTTTTTAACTAAAGATACACATGTGTGTGTGTGTGTGTGTGTGTGTGTGTGCGTGTACATAATTGGCCACTCTCTGGAATTATAAATAAAATTAATTTGAGGATTTTTTTGGCTCTAGTTTGCCTCACTCTGCTAAAAATTATCTTGAGGTTGGTATATTTTTGACCAAACTCCAGTCCTGGCACTGGCAAAAGGTTCTACACCCCTGCCTACCCACCCCCATCAGATGTCCCTGGGATCAATAAGGTCACTAGCCAGGTGGTCCTCACTTACTGTTATGGTTTAGGGCTGCAGATAAGCAAACCTGCTCTGTAGCCCAGCTGCCTGCACTGGGGATGCAGCAGCACAGACACAGTGGGAAGCACCTCCAGCCCCCAGAAGACAGGCACAGCACAAGCAGCTTCTGGTGGCTCCAGGTGATGAATCCAAACTCCTTTTCTCCAACTCCCACCCCCTTACAGCAGGAATGAATTTCTGCCACTTAAAATGAGAGGCGGCAAGGAGGAACAGACTGTGAATTTTATTCAGGAGTCTTCAGACACAGCAGTGAAGCAAGCACCCTGCTCCCCAAAACTGGGATCTGCTTGGTGCTGGCTGACACAACATGAGGTACCAGCATGTTCATGGTACCCAGGCAGCACACCATTCTCCTTCTCACACTGCTGGCACAGAGCTGCTTTGGGGGACAGGGGGGGAGGCACCAAGGAACGTGATACCCAGCACAGGGACACCTCCGAGCCATTCAGGTGGCCCAGAAAAGGACGGTGGCTCTGCATTTGTCCCCAGGCCACAAGCCCACACCAGTTGCCTGCAACAGTGAAAGGGCAAGGGCTGGTCCTTAGACAGCTGCCACCACCTCGGTCCACATTTGCATCCAGGGTGCTCAGGAAGGGACCGCAGGCTGCAGTGGCTGATCGCTGATGTCCCCAGCAGGGGCCACTGTGACATTAAGGAAAGCCAGACTGCCAGGCATAGGAGGGGGCTGTGGGCTCCCGCTCCTACAGCAGCTCAGGGGCTCCATGCAGCATCTGCCCTCCTCCAGGACTGGAAGCTCAGGCCTCCGAGGTGAGTTTGTAAAAAAAAAATGGCTGCATGTGAAGAGTGAAGGGGGCTGGGGGCGTCACTGTGGGAGAAAGTGCTGCCATACACTGCAGTACAAAAATAAAGATATAAACAAGAAATGAAAAGGCTGGAGTGGAGTGTTCAGATCACATCCTCAGATCTCTGGCTTGTAACAGCTAGAGAAGGAGAGAGAAAGAGAAACACAATCAATGGTAGGAAAAAAAGGCAACTGAGCATGGAGGGCAGAGTGAGAAACAGAAAAGGGGAAATGACAGAGGAAACACAAACAGAAGAAAAAGAAAATAAATGAGGGTGGGAAAATAGAACAGAAGGAAGAAAAAGTCCATGTGATTAACATACACTGAGTCTTAAGATAATAACACTCAGGTCCCACAGCCACAGAGGGAGAGAGAAATGTCAGCCAGCTAACAGTGCCCTCCATCAGGACCAGTGGAGATTGACACTGAGCATCTCCACTTTAACAGGAGTCTCACAGTTCTGCAGTATGGAGAGGAATCCTCCTTCTAACACTCTCCATACCCAGCCCCACGTTTGTCGGCCAGCCAGCCTTCCTAAGCAGGAGGCAGAGCAGAAAGGTTCATTTTGCACACAGCTGTGAGAGCATCTGCAGTGGGGACCAGCTGCTTCTGCTCTGCCTTTGCCACCTTTCCCACTGCACTCTCACCCTGGCAGAGCCTGTGGGGGGAAAGCTCAGGGAAGGAAAAATAACAGGCTGCCTTCTGCAAACTGCCCGGGCTGGCAGGCAAAGGAGCTGTGGACGCAGTCTGGAGGAGCGATCTGGCATGCATGTCACGCAGACACGTGGCAAAATTCCACCCCTTCCCCGAACCACCCCGGCCTGCTTTGCATTCATTTCCACCCCTCTCCCAGCTGCACTCTCCTTTCTGCTGCCAGAGCCTCTGGTCCACAGCCATAGGATCTGCTTGGCAGGTAAAGGCACACACAGGATCAGAATATGTAAAGCCACCCTAGGGATGAGTCAACCTCACACCTCCCTCCTTCCCCTCCCCAAGCTCTACAAACCAGGGCCATACCCACAAGAGGGAAGTGAGTCACTCATGCAGAGCTCAGGCTGGCAGGAGCTGGGAGTGCAGACAGGTAACATACCTGCAGAGGAGGAAAAGTGAGGAGCAGAGAGAGACAGGGCCCTGGGCAGAGACCACTCTGAGCCCTGAGGGACAAGGAGAGCAGAGGGAAGGATGCTGGAGGCTGGCGAGTGGGACAATGTGGGAGGTAGATGGCAGTGCTGGGATGGACACGGAAGGGAGCAGGAGGGAGGGTCCGCAGGAAGAGAGTTTAGCACAATCCCAAATAGATGGACGGTCTGCAAATAAAAATAAAACCGCAGATAAACCAAACAGTTTAAAATACAAAGCAGCAGCCATGGTAACAGCTCTCCCCTGACAGTTTTATCTCCAGAGAGACTCCAGCTCCTGGAGAGGACAGCCCCCACACCCCACACCTGTTCTAGTCCTTCCCTGCTGCTAACTGTGAGCTCTCACCAGAAAGGTGGACGAGTCTATGCCTGGGGGGTTATTTTTATCATTTTCCTCAGGGGTTTGCTGCACCTTTCTCCTCTGCTTCTGCTTCTGCCTCTGCCTCCTCCTCCACCTCCTGCTCTTCCTCCTCCAGGTCCTCCTCTGTGTTCTGTGGCCCAGCATGTGGGACAAAAGGAAGAAAGAGTGGAAATGCTTGCAAGATGAGCCATGGCAGTTCTTTCTGACACACAACGGAACAAAGCAATTGTCATAACACTGGAATAAAAAGGAACTTTTCCCCATGGCCAAGACAATTCTAGGTCAGGGAACAGAGAGGGTTGTTTTCCTCTGGAGTATCACATCAGGGTATCTAACCCACTTACAAGTGCTGTGACCCCACCGTCCAACAACTGCCATCAGTTGCTAGTGTCCCTTCCTGCATCCTGGGTGTCTACAGAATGTCATGCACTGCACATGTTTCTGTCCTTCCCTCAAAAGGGAAGCAGGAGATAACTGCCCCTCAGGCTGAGACTCAAAAAGGAAAGAGAATGCTGCAAAACCTTCAGGGAAATAATGCCCTACAGGCAGTGATACACACAGAATGGGCATGAGGAGGCATGAGGGGGATGTTAGAGTAGCATGAGAGGTGCCAGGGTGACTTGCTAAAGCCATTTGCCACACACAACCACACACCACCCCTCCAACACACATACTCCTCCTTTTGGGCAACGGGTGTAATGCCACAGTGCTGAACACCAGGGCAGGCCCCTGTATTTCACCACTGAGGTGCCCCACTGTTGCAAGGGAGAGAGAAAAAAGAGAAGGAGCAAAGAGCAAAGGATCTCATAGGCAATGGGAGCAGGGCCATAGCAAAGTTAATCTCACCTTGGCTTTGTGGCTGGGCTCAGAGCTCAGGCCATTGGGGGAGTTGTACAACTCCTTGGAGACCACGCACAGGAATTCTGTCTGATCCTCATTCCCATAATTATAGGATGAGCCAATGTTCACAAGCTAGAAAAGATGAGACCAAGAATCACAAGCACATATTCCTGGAAACACCCACTCCACCTGGGGAGCAAGGCAGAAAGCCCATCATGCAGCACTGAGTCCAATGCATAATCCTGTTGGAAAGGCCTCATAACTAAGCCGAGGAGACAACACAGAGAAGCAGGAGAGAAGTCAGCCAGGATGCAAAACAGGCTGGCCTCACACAGTATCCTCTAAACCTCTAGAAAGGGGCAAGAAAGAGTCATTGATTGAATATGATGAGTCAATCAATGACTTACCCAGTATTCTCAGAGAGGGAAGGAGCCTTGCCTGGCAACTGTATGGTATCCATGATCTTTTCCCCAGAAGACAACTCCTTCTCCCCCTGCTCTGCCTTACCCATACCTGCTCAAAGCGCCATCCATCTGACATAGTGGAAACCATCTGAGTGAGCTCCTCTTCCTGGCACTGCAGCACACGGTAGACATGCTTAGGAGGCACCTGAGAGCAAAATTGCAGAGCACACTGACAACTGTCATATGCTAAAAGCTGTTCCCCTCCTGTAGAATGAAGTGGTAATACCCCTTCTTGACAGACCTGTCCCCTTCCCCATGTCCCAGGTGAAAGGGGAGTGGAAACCACAATCCAGCTTTCTCCTGTGCTGTCACTGGAGGCAAGAACAGTATCTCTTCTGAAGAGTAGGGACTGAGCTGAGTGCTCCCTGCATTGTCCCCAGAAGATACTGCCCTCTTTTGATGGGGAGTATGCACTTGTAAGTACAAAATAATTTTTGCAAATGCAACAAATGCTGAGGGGGCTTAGCAGCACAAAGTGGCTGTGCTGCTGGAGGCTTACAATCTGAGGAAGACAAGATGAAAAGTGAGATAGCAGACAATCCTCCCTCTAAGAAATATTTTCAAAGGTTGCTGGCCAAGACAGGGTGTGATTGTGCCACAGGATTGATTCTTTGTCTGCATTTAACTCTTTCACAGCCATCTCTTCATCTATTTCCTCCAGTTTCTCTACAGGTATTTCCATGCTCTTCATTGTGATTACACTCCCAGGACTCCCCACACCAGTCCTCCTCCTCATGACACCTTTGCTATCCTCACAAACATTCCTCTATATCACACAGCAACCAGCTGCCTTCTTCCAAAAGCTAGAGGAGCTCACTTAGTTTCAGGGGCTACATCCACATAACTTCTGGGATGCAAAGCAAGACTGCAACTTGTTTATTGTAACTAAATTGGTGGCAGCTTGTCCCCTGCAAGATTTTGCTGCATTGGGATTAGCACATAATATCTAATTAGTTGTTTCCTTCCGTTCCTTGCTGCTTCTCTCAAGTCTTCTCTCGCTCTGGACTCATCTCTCTCCTTTTTTACACCCCCTGCTTCCCCCACCCCACTCCATCTTGCCATACCTGTGTTACTGTGTAGTCCTTCTCCTCCATTCGATCCTTGATTATTCGGATCAAAGGACCAATGTTATAGAACTCAGCTTCTTCAAGGATCCCTGAGAAAGACAGACAGAACGACCAAAAAGACAGAAAGTTAGCAGCCCATCTTTATTTTTTGACTTGCAAAAGATCAATTCTGAGCCTCACAAGGTCCATAGAGAGAAATTATATTACTGTTTTTCTTTTTAACAGGCTTGAAACCCTTACTGCAGAGAATTCAAACTTGGCTCTCTGCATCTTGTTTCTAATGCTCACCCCAACTTCCTTATGCTGCCTGCTACTACAGAAGCAGGCACTGCCAGTGAAGGCTTGTGCTGAGGACTGCCAATACCTGTCCCAGATACCTGGCCAAGGAGAACAACTATAGGCTCCAGTCTCTCTCAATGACCATTTGTCTGACCTTGCTCAGACTTTCTCAATAAGGCAGAAAACAAAAACTTGCAGTTCTGACAAGTCACCAAAAGACCCTAGAAAAGCCTAGCTTACCTCCTAGGCCACTTGGAGTTGCAGCCCCATATGACTTTATATGATCTTTGGCTTTATCCCCTGTGCTTCAACTTAAAAGAGGTAAACAGAAATGGTTTTGTTTTTTTCTCTATGGTGTCTGCATCCATCACCTCTCCTGAGACTCACCTGTTTGCTAACAGGCCTTCAGGAAAAGGGAGGTGGTTCCCAGAGAGTCAGTGAGGGAAAGGTGGCTGGAAGCCAACACTCACATGTTCCCAAGGCAGTACAAAGAAAATATAGATGGGGAGTCCCTCGCTATCTGACACACTCAGACCTGTTCTGGGTCTCTCATTCAGCAGTGTATTGTCTACTGGGTTAGTCTTATGCCAGCCTGAATGTTTGCAGCAGGATAAAAAAAGGCAATGCAAATGAACTGGGCTCGTGTTTATGTTTCAGATTTGATAATAAAACCTGCAGATGAACTCTCTCTGACCCAAGGATTACAAGAAATGTAAAGTAGGAAACACCTCAAAATTGTGCTTATTACAATCTGGTACCATTAGTTGGGTATATTTTTGGAATTATAACTGGTAAGACTACTCTGAAGAAAAGTTTCCTTGCTTTAGGTAAAAATGTCTAAGAAAGGCAAGAAGACAAATGACCATGCAGAAACCATGCTTGGCAAGGGCTGGACAGCACAACCTGTATTTGGAATTGGCTCCTTATTACACCCTCGCATCCAAAAAATTACAAGGCACTGTGGACTGCTGACTGGTAACACTGTGATGTCACTAAGTCATCCTATTAGACCCACTGTCAACCTTAGATGAAGGATTAGTTTGTCTGACTTGTTCCACTGGAATTTCTGCAGTCCACGACCATGAGAGCACAAGCAGCATAACAGTGCATATCACTGATTAATGATGGTCTTTATTGCAGTCAGTAGAAGAGATGAACTTGGTTTTGTTTGGTCTATTGGGCTTTCATTCCTAATTAGAAACAGACATTAATAGAAAACTCAGTCATAGAGCCTGGTTAAAAGTAGATCAGGAACCAGTAAAAAATGGCTTATTGAGGCTCTGAGATGCTGCCTACTTCTGTCTTGGTGACATCTCTGCTGGACAGTTGTGATGCCACAACACCTGCAAGAATGCCTTCCTCACCCACTGCAAACCCCTTTAGTAAAGGAGACATCGTCATACTTTGCAGGGATAGCTCTCTGAAATCACCCCACATCAACATCCAAAACAAGAACAAGAGACAACAAGGTTGATCACAAGTCCTATTTTTCCTGAATATGGGAAGTGGGATTTTTCTGAGCTCCACAACTCACCCTCTTCAGCCATATCTTTATCCAGGACCAGCTTCCCATGGCGGAGGAAATTCAGAATCGGTCCAAAGTAAGTGGGGTCCCGATCTATTAGGTATGCACCAGTTTCATCCTAGCAACAGATATAGATCACAAGGAGAAAAAACCCACAGAAAACTGTAACCAACTGTAAAATACCCTAGAATACAAGAAAATACAAACCTAAGCAAAAATGTCCACTATTTCTAAGATTCTTTGGAAACCATGGGTCCCTGAGAGTCCCTAGCCAAGTCAGTCCAGCTTGGATTTTAACTCCTGTATTGATCTGCTCAGCATGCCCACCTCAGCATGACTCAGTCCAGCTGAAAAAGCCCAAAAAATAGGCCTCAGCCTCTTTGTGTAACTGTGAATCCCGGCCTGGTGCAAGAGAGCAGAGACCGCCTTACAGGAACAAGGCTGAGTCAGGCAGACACAGCTGGGAAGTAAACCCAGGATGTGCGGTGACAAAGAGGAAGAAGAGCAGGAGCAGAGGGGGGATGGCCTCTCTTTTCCCCGGCTCAGGAAGGCAAGTGCCAGGCTACAACAAGGTGGAATCTGGCATGGGGAAATCCTTCCCGGGAGAGGGGGGGCAAAGAGCAGGCATTTCTCACTCAGCAGCTCCTGCAGCTGCCGGGGTCTGGCTCCATCCCTGCATCCCTCCAGCCCTCCCCATGCTCGGTGGGGCACGGTGCGGGAGGCAACCCAGCTGCCTTACCCGGTCCGACTGCAGCTCCTCGCCCTGGCACAAGCGACACAGGAAAGATTTCTGCTCCCGACACAGGGTCTGCCTGGTGGTGAGGAACACGGTGCCCCCCACATTGAGCCTCACCCACTTGGCCTGGGTGCCAGCGGGTGGCGGAATGTCCCAGGTGCAGCGTAGCCCCACGGCGCCCTGCATCTCCTCCCTGCCCTCCATCCTCATCCTCACCCCCACCTCCCCCACGGCGTGCAGGGACTGCCGCAGGTGCTGCCTGTCGGAGAATGCCGGGATCTGTAGTTTATCTGCCTCTCCCTCCGCAACAGCCGTGTTTCCCGGGGACCAGGATCTTCCCTGTGACTACCAAGGGAGTCCTGAGAGGAGGAAGGTTGCTCGACGCTGGAGGATATCGCTGCGGCTATTGGGGTGGGCAAAGCCACAGCTCCACAGCTCTGACACTCCCTTGGCTTTTCCCCTGTTCCCGTTTTCAGAGACCATGGGCCGATCAGCACTCCGGAGGTGCAGGGTGTTATGCAAAAATCGTCGGCATTTATTTCCACAGACATCCTCTCTGGCTCATTAAAAGGTTCTGGGAATTGTAGTTTCGCCGGGACATGCACAAAAGGGTGATGGGAACTGTAGTTTTCCCAGCTCGCAGTTCCTGCAATGAGGATGCTGTAACGAAGGGCACTGCACACATGGCGCCAGCCCTGCGGACGGTACTCTGCCTGCTTCCAGTCCTGGGTCTTGTCTGCAAGCTTCCTCGGAGACAGCAAGCACAAGCTGCTTCCTGGCAGTCGGGAGATTAAGCCCCTCAGGGCTGTACTTCACAGCATTCCCTTCAGGACATCCATTATCCCAGGCTCAGCGCTCAGTGCCACATCAGTTGCCATACTTTCTTGCAGCAAAATATGCAGACAGTTGCCTTCTTGCTAACATGCATAGGGACAGTTCTGGGAACTGTATTTTGGATCTGTATGAAGTGCTGGCAGGGGGCAGGAATCATTTTTCTTCCAGCTCAGAGGAGTTACTGACTCAGCAAACTCCCCCCCTGTGCTGCTCTACCAGAGCAAACCCCCCACGTCCTTCCCCTGGGCTCCTGCCATCCTTGCCATCCCTGTCTGGGCAACAGAGCTCAGACTGTAACTCAGCTCTGTGTGGAGCTTTACCTCTGCCCCAGGCATGTATCACCCGCCGAGGCTGATGTGCCAATCCCGTGGTATGGAATCTAGCCCTGCTCCTGCCAGGCCGAGCCTGGTGCTCAGCAGTTCATGCCCAAGGGGACTCTGTTCAAACACACTCCTTGGCACAGAAACAATCTGAACAAGCTCTCTCCAACAGCTCTGCCTTTCCCACTCTCACCTAAGCACAGCTGTGCTTGCCAGCAGCTCGAGCACATTAAGAATGGAAAGGAAAGGCTGGTGTTTCACCCCATTGTGGCTCAAAACCTTCCTCCACCTAAGCAACTTCCCGGCTCTTCCTTGACAGGGCAATGCAGCACTGCAGAGACACACAACACTTTCTTTTTCTTGCATTTAGATCTTAGTGCCTTTGGATATGGGGGGTTATTGAGTGAAGAGGCTGGGTAAAGAGAAGCATTATGTTTTACTCTTACGTTCCTTTTCTTCTTGTCCTTCCTTCTTTTACTTGCAAATCACTCCCTTTTATCACTACAGAAGAAGGCAGCATTGCCCTTCCCCCAATCACCCAGGATTTCCTTCACAAAGATGGCATGTGTACTTCGCTCTTTCTGTGGAGGAGTGCCAGGGGAGGAGAGGAAGAGAGGGTAACATGGAAGAGGTTTCAAGACTGCTGACCTTCAGTTAATTTAAGTACAGGAACAATTCAGCTGCTCCAGGGTGTAAATTCAAATAATTTTGAACCAGCACTAGAGTGACCATTAACAGAGCATGAAAAAATATTTTTGTCTACCTATATGGAGCAAGCTCTGGCCACAATTACTGCCCAGCCCTGGGACCAGTCTCCACCGAGCAGTAACATGCATCAAAGATGCTCAGACTATCACTGACCCAGCCTGAAGTGTCACAGTGCAACACAGCTCTGGGCTGTCAGACTGCTGTCCTCCTAATTCTGCCTCTGAGTCAAACCACAGCAAATTGGAGACCTCTGCCCTGCCCTCTGGTGTGTGAGGACTACAGGACCCTGTCTGTGCTGGCTGCAGCTCCAGCACAGAACTGGGGTGAGGACTGCGGCTCTGATATGAAGCAGTAGTTGGGTGGCAGACTATAGCCCCTTATCTCCCCCTCCAAGAAATCTGCCCTGCCTTCAGTTTTTTTCCCTCTTTCACCAAGGGTTCACCCTCTCCTCTTTCTCCTCTCACATCCTCTCAGCCTCTTCTTTTTAAGGTCCATCTCTTGTTCTGAACATCTTCTTTTCCAACCTCTCCCATGACAATGCTGCTCACGAGTCCAGGGCAGTCTATATTTGAGGCATACTTTGTTCCATCAATACCAGTCTCCACTTGTGGCTGGAACCTCAAGTCTTGCTCATGGGGTGAAAAGTTAATTGCTAAATCTAAAGAGGTATATTGTGAGTAAGGAAAGATGCCAAGGAACACCACTTGTAACATCAGAACCTTTTTTTTCTGCAATATACAGCAAAAAAATCATTGAAAATGAACCAGGCCAGAGATTTCCCCACAGTATGTGAAAATACTCTTCAGTAAGAAGCCAATGTGGGGTGAGTTACCAACTGAAATGTTCTGATGAGTTGGTGGCATAGGCTAAATACAGACTTGATTGCACACTATCACCAGATGTAGTTCTGAGATGCAATTAAGGCACCCTTGTTAAGGTTCCCTAAAATCAAGAAACAGGACACAGGAGAGGTAAGTTTAAACAATCAGTGGTGTTTGGTCAAAGGTTGGACTTAATGATATCAGCTCTTTCCCAATTTTATGGTTTTATGAGTCTATGACTTGTTCCTGCTGCCTTTATGACAACTGTATATAAAACATATGCACAGAGGGAGAGCAAGCAAGAGCTTACACAGCGCTGTGTGATGCTGTAAGACCCTACAACCTTGCAGTCCCCAGAGAAATCATGGGGACCATTGCTCAGACAGACTGGGAGCAGGAAAAACTTGACAGCCACTGGATACTGAACAAGAGCTGAGAAGAAGAGAGCAGGACATAAACTGGGAATGTCTTGGTTCAGCAGTCAGGCCTGCAATGCAATCCTGCAGAAAGCTACACACACCGCAGCGCTCTGCAGCTTGGTACATGGCATATGATGCATCACTGGCATTGTAGAGCTGCTCTGCTGAACTGTTGTGTTGTGGAACAGCAGTGGGAGCAGGGATCACCATGTGCTGGCACAGAGTGTCACCACTCTGACAGGCTGGGAACACATACTGGGGATTACATGGCAGGAGGCACTGGAGAAGAAACCAGGAAAAACTAGTTGGCATGTCCATGTAGGATCAGTGCCACTCTCTTTTCTGCAGGAAGTGGAGAGGGGAAGACAAGTGATGCTCTGACATTTTGCCAGTAAGCCAACAGGGAATTGGGCAAATAAAAATTCCCTACACTGGACTTGGGGGTGGACACTGTTGAAGAATAGAGTGCAGCTTGACTGCCAGCTGAGCCAGGCACATTGAAGCATGAAGAGAAAGGCTCCATGGCATACAGGCAAGCTAATCTTCCTCCAGCTCCTTGTGCTGCATGAGGTCTGTGAGCAATGTACCTGCATTCAAAGCAGTGTGCAAAGCCTGTGTGTGGATGTGCATCACGCAGCACCTTTGCTGAAGACTGCTGGGAGGAGGAGTCAGAATGGTTGTGGAACACCTGGCTGTAAGCTGGGACCAGGAGAGATGGGAGGAATATGAAATGTCCCTGCAGGCAACACCAGTTACCATGGCTCACGCAGTGCTCGGGCCAGTGGTGCTGGTAGAGGGGCTGCTTTAGAATTTGGAAAAATTTGCAGAGAAACAAAGTTTGCTGGGAAATGAAGCATGAAATAGTGCAGCCTGACTGCTAGGGAGCAGGATGGAAGGAAGAGGAAGAGAGGTGACAAAGAAGACAAGTGAAGAACAGGGGACCATGGGATTACTTTTAACTAGACCAGACTGCACAGAATCCAAACTTCCTTCAGGACAAAAGTATTGCAGATGGTAAAATATACCAATAAACAGTTTACTTGCTGGCCTGGGATTCTCAAATTTATATAGAGAGCTGTAAAAACTCTAGTCCCAAGGTAGCCACAGGTCAGTGTGACCTTCCTCCTACATCAGGGCTGTTGTTTAGGCTACCTTTTTGGCCACCATGAGCCCTATTCCACCAAAGATATGCTATTACCAATCCCCTGTGGCAAATTTTCCACAGGAAAATCATGAACATTATAATGCAAATGTGATTTGCATTATATCCACTTCTCCCCAGCTTTTGGTTCCTATAGGAAACCCACCCACTGAGTCAGGGACATAAAGATCTGCAGAACATTTATAGTCCTGGTGTAAGTCCCCTCAGCTGTTCCATATGTCCAGTAGCATCTGTTATAGCTCAAAATAGGTTTTTCAAGTCTCCAGGATTTGAAAACATTGTCTCGGTCTTCACAACCTTCTCAGTGCTTTGCCTGCATCACCAGAAGGGATCGCAACGAAAAAGAGGGGGAACATCAGAAGACACTCTTGGATAGATTTTTGATACATGATATAAGAGGGAATACCTCAGAAAAACAAAGTATCTTGCTGTGGGAAAGAAGCTCTCAGTTTCTCCTCTGTGGAGAAATGAAGGCAAAGTTAAGCATCTGGGAAAAGATTTGCCAAAAGCTGGGAAGAATCACTGAGATTTTGTAGCAGAAAATTCAGCCAGAGAAGGGCAGTTGAGTACTGCCAAGCTTGGCTAAATACCAGAGAGGGGGAAGGGCCCTGCTAGATGTCATCAAGCCACAGGGGTGAAATGTAGAGCAAGGGCAGAGGGAAGTTTTCAGTGTAATGCGCAATCTCCAGGTGGATGGCTGGGCTGTGTCACACATCTCCCTGCAACACACAGGATAGAGAAAAGCATCCCAGTCTCAAGAGAAAGCAGAGAGATTCCCCACTGACCCCCAGGACTGATTGGTCAGTGGCAAAAAAGGAACAGAGTGCTTAAGATGCATCAAAAAATATACTGGAAGTACACACAAGAGCCAGCTCCCTGCATCTATTGCAAATAAGTCTGAAACAATATGTCAATTTTCCTAATAACTAAACTTTCCTGGAGAAACAGAGCAGGCACTCATCTGGCTACATAATCACAAAATCAACCTCTCTGTGTTGTTGTTGTGACAAGGGTCACTCGTTTCAGACCCCTGTGAACCCTGTATGCTCAGCACTTGCTGCAATGCCAGCCCCAAGGCCTCCAAGAGCTGGGTTGTCAGTCTGGACGCAAGCAAGGAAATTGCAGGCTGTCAGTCACTGGGTGCTCAGACCCTATGTGTGAGTGGGGAGGATAGAGGAAGAAATAAACTGGGCAGTGAAATTCCAGCTGCCCAGGAGGTGAGCAGAAACAGAACTTCCATGCATGCAAGCCAAGGCCAAGAAGAAGCAGCCAAAAGAGGTAAGAGGAAATGCAAAGAATAAACACTCAGCAATAGCGAAGAATCCAGACCTTACAGTCAGAACTGTGACAATAAGTACCCACTGCATTCCCTAGAAAGTCCAACCCCCACTATCCACAGATGTTTACAGGCACCTGTTGCTGCAAGCCCTACAGAAGAAACTGTCACATTAACTTCTAAGTTAGCAGTAGGCCAAAAGAGATGCAGGCTTCTTTTTTTTTTTTTTTTTTTTTTTTTTGGGAGGTTTCTGTAGGTTTTTTTGTTTAGTTTTGGACATTTTCTCCTCACATGAGGAGAAAATCTCAGAGAGAACAAAATCTTGAACATTATCAGGGATACCTGGTGTACTTTCAACTTTTAGACGTAAAAGAAAAAGGTCTTGGGGAAAAATAGGTTTCAGTGTGGGCTATTCCTCTGAAGGTCTCAGTTCTGCTAAGTTTGCAGGGAAAGGTTACATAGCAAGAATGAAAATACCCATGCAGTCCATTTTCCACTATGTAAGCTGACATCCAGTGTTTCAAGAACAGAGCTGTAACCTACAACTGTGGACTTTAAGGCAAAAAAAGCAAATGGACTTAGGACTGAAAGCAGGTAGATGGTGCAGAGACCCAAGAGAGAGGCATGCCATTGTCCTTCCTGGGTCAAAGAGCTTGTTGAGGTTAACAGGTGTGGCTCTACTTTCAGAGAGAAGGGAAGGTCTCATTTGAATCTCACTGTGGACAACGTGATTCCATAAAAACAGAACTCCTGAAAAGTATTCACCTAAGCAACACTCAGGTAAATTCCATTCAGCAGAAAGACCTTGAAACATGTTTATTTACATTGTTTAAATCCCATAATCTTTTCTTTTTCTCAAGGGGGATTTTGGACAATAGGGCTACAAGGCTGGCTAAGTACACATTAGAGTCCAAGTACAAGAAGAAATACAAATCAAGTCTCTAGCCTAAGTGCCAACCTGAATGCTGTATTTGCTCCTTTAACAGCCATCTCTTCCCACAAAGTTTTGCACTCAAAGTGGCCATAACATGCATGGATGGGACAGAAGCAGAGAGCAGGATTATGAGGCACAGTTACGTAAGTATGACCATCCTGTGAATGAGCATGATTGAATGTTTTGAGTCAGGGGCTTGGCTTAACTCAATTAATTCCCCATGCTGGCAGCAGCACTCTCTGCCATCCATCTGATAAGGTGAAATGGTCACAGAATCACAGAGGTTAGAAGTGACCTTGAGAGGACATCTGTCCCACCCTATCTTCTCAAGCAGGGTCACCTAGAGCTGGCTGCCCAGAACTGCTGTCATCTTCATCCTCCTAAGCAGCAGCAGGGTAAGGAGAAAGTGCCGAAGCACCGTGTGCGCATGATTGTTATCTAATGCCTTCATCTCAAGACACTTAATCAGGAAAGCTAAACCCATCTTTTCCAAATCCCGTTTCAAGGCAAGCTACGTGCACAGCTGGGAAACAATGCAGCTTATTACACTGTTTTCCCCTTTCCCTCAGAAATAATATTTTCAGGCTGTGCCCGCATGTACCATTCCACCCAGGCCCCGTCGTACACTGCGACATCTGGCTTGCCACAGAGGTAGGCCCCCAGAGCCACATGGCAGGCAGTGACCCCAGAGCCACACGTGGCTACCACCGGCTTCAAGAGGTCCACCTTCTTCTCCTGGAACAGAGTGCGGATCTGCTCAGGGGTCTTCTCTAAGCCAGACTCTGTGAGGAAATCAGTGAAGGGGATGCTCGTTGACCCAGGGACATGACCAGGCTCAATTCCTAGAGAAAAAACAATACAGACAGGAATTGACCTCTATTGTCTGGGACAAGTCTATTGCAAAGCCTCTTCTGTTTCACTGAGAGGAATATTTATTGCTTAGAGTATTTTGTTAAAACAAGTACATTTATTTTTGTTACACTTTGCTTTACTAGATTACTGATTACTCAGGAAGGATGGCTCTATGTGTAACCTTCATGTCACCACATGGGCACAACCCTGCCAAGTTCCATTCTTTCCCCTAGTTCCCTCCACATCTTTCTCCCCATCAGAGCAACCTACACTGATGAAGCCCCTCCATAGACCATTCTGAAGAGAAGAGTAGCACCAGTACTTGAAGAGACCAATGAGAATCTTCGGGGTGTATCAAAAGCTATGTTCCTCACCCCAGACCCTCATGAGGACAAAAAGATACATGACCTCCCTACTGCTGAATTTTCAAAGAGTAGCACTTGCTAGTCAAAAGGGAAGGAGGACAGGTGGACGCACTGCCTGAAGTCCCATCCCATAAAAGACAGCCACTATTTCCTAGCATTTCCTCCACAGGAGTCAAAGTGATGGGCACACTAAATGAAACCCCTCTTTATAATGCCACTGTCTCAGAAGGCGCATTACCATCTCGGGGCTCTGGCTCTACTCCCCGGAAACGTCCTGCAGCACGGGCATCCACTAGTTGGAAGCGACGGGAATCCAAGTTATCTAAGACGTCCTCATATGTTTTCACCAGGGACTTGTCCAAGGAGGCATGGAACTCAGATGGAGCTACCTGGGTTTTCCCAGAGCTAAGTGCATTCCCCTCTCGCTGCCAGTTCTTCAGGCCACCATCCAGAAGAGAGACAGCTTCGTGTCCAAAGACCCGGAACATCCACCATACCCGAGGTGCTGAGAAGAGACCTTGGTCGCTGCCATCATACACCACAACATGGGAATCATTCCCCACACCCAGCTTCCCCACATACTCGGCAAAGTCATTAGCCTTGGGCAGCATGTGATCGTAAGGCGAGGTTCGGTCACTGCACTGGTCAATGTCGAAGAAAACCGCACCAGGGATGTGGCGCTCCTCAAACTCCCGCTTCGGATCACGCTTCATCTTTGGCAAATACCACGATGCATCCACGATTTTCAAGGCCAGGCCAGCTTGCTGGGACTTGATGGCTTCTGAAAGCCATTTTGCAGATACCAGAGCTCGGTAAAGGAGTTGTTGCGACATCGCTCCTGAGTCCTGGCTGAGATTAGTCAATTTCTGGATTCTGCCGGAGTCCACCTGACTGCAGAAGGTAGAGAGTCACAAATTAGAGACCAGTCTTTCAAAAAGCAACTGGACAAAGATGCATTTTGAGATCTGTGTCTGCACCGATGTGCTGGCTAAGCCTACAATGAGGGGCTTGAAATGCTCCAGCCCTGAAAGTAGTTTCCCAGAGCTCGTCCCAAACAACGCCCCGAGCGGGACAGCCACGGCAGTCGTGCCCTGCGCCCGGCCCCACGCAGTTCCTCTGGCCCCATGCAGGGACGCCAGCCAGCACCAACAGCAGCGAGAGCGCAGCGGGGCAGCCCAAGGATCAAGTGCTCGGCGGTCAGGCACGGCCCCACGCCTCTGCCCGCACGGAGAACACCGGCAGCCGGGGCCTTGCGGGGCCCCGCCGCCGCCCTCTGAGAGCCCCCCCGGCTCGGCGGGGCCGCGATTGCCGCCGCTTTGCCCCGTACCTCCGTGCTGGGCCTCGCTGCCCGCCAGCCACGGCCGCCGCCGGAGGGCGGGAGCGCTCCCAGCGGGCCGGTCCCGGCCGTGCGGCCGCCTCCGTGCCGCCCCTCGGGCCGCGCCTCCCGCCGCCATTTCGTGTGTCGGGCCGCGTCGGGCTCTGTGCGCGAGGGGAGCGCGGCCCGGCTGCGGCGCCCCCGCCGGTGCCCCGAGATGGCGCGGCAGAGCCTCAGCCGGGCGCTGGTCACGGCCTCCTGGCTGGCGGAGGCGGTGCGGGCCGGGCGGGTGGGCGCCGGCCTGCGGGTGCTGGACGCCTCCTGGTACCCCCCCAAGGAGCGAAACGCCCGGCAGGAGTTCAAGGAGAGGCACATCCCCGGGGCGTCCTTCTTCGACATCGAGGAGTGCCGGGACAAGTCCTCCCCCTACGACTTCATGCTGCCCAGCGAGTCCCACTTCGCCGACTACGTGGGGGGGCTGGGCGTGAGCAATGACACCCACGTGGTGGTGTACGACGGGGACGAGGTGGGCACCTTCTACGCCCCCCGCGCCTGGTGGATGTTCCGGGCCTTCGGGCACAAGGAAGTCTCTGTGCTGAATGGCGGCTTCAAGAATTGGGTGAAGGAGGGGCACCCCGTCACGGCGGAGGTCACCCAGCCCACCCCGGCTGTCTTTAAGGCCAGGCTGAACAGGGCCCTGGTGAAGACTTTCGAGGAGATGATACAGAACGTGTCGTCCCTAAACTTCCAGGTGGTGGATTCCCGCCCCGAGGGCCGGTTTCGGGGGACAGAGCTGGATCAAGGTAATGGAGGTGGGACTGGCACCTGCCCCAGAATGGGATGAATGTCAACTCTAGACCGGGAGTAACAGCTCCTGACAGCCATCAAAAAGATTTTCCTAATGCAGAGGCATGCCTCAGCCCGACTCATTGATTACCTTAAGGGATCCACAGTTGCACGTTCAGACCCCAGTGCCATCACTGAATGCTTTTGTTGCAGTTGGCTATAAAGCTGCAGGAGGAAATAGCAGAAAAGGGCTGCAGTCATTTGGTTCCAGGATCTCCCATCCCACACCCTGCAGAAGTTTATCAAAATGCAAACATGGGAGGTGAGAGCTCCCAGGGGTTTGTTCAGGGGCCTATCTAAAACCAGCAGACACATAAAAATATCAGTATTCATACAGGCGCCTCTCACCATAATGAGTGCACAAGCAAAAGCCAAGGTTTTAGGTAATACAGTAACCCAAGGGACATTCTTCTTATCGCTCTGACTTCCAGCAAATAGAGAATTTGCTTGAGCTGATTTTTGTTCTTTTGCTTATGTAAGAAAAGTCTGAAGCCTTTAGGAAATGTGTGGGGTGTCAGCCTCTCTCTTTTAGATGCCCCAAGTTAGAGGAACAAAAACTGATTTCATTACCTCGGTGAAACACTGGACACCCAATCAGCAGGGGTGGGAGAAGTCCTGTGCAGTGGGGACAGCAGGTACAGCAGTGTGCCTGAAATGAAATTGAAGTTGGTTAAAGGAGGCCCTTGCTGTGTAATTTAAGCCTTGATGTATCCCAAAATAACCTCCCTTCTGAAAGGGTGTAAAGGAAACTTTCCTGACTGACCATTCAGGAGGCACTCTGGCAATCACACTCCCACCACTGGAGACTTTAACCGCTGGGACCAAAGCCCCTTCTCAGCAGGCAATTCCACTAAACTGATGGGTGCCCCACTTGACTACCTACACGCCCCCATACACACTCAGACCAAGTTTTCTTACCGTCTCGGGCCTGGGTTTTCCTTAGCAGAGCCTCAAAAGTCTGGTTCCTTAAAGCAATTTATTAACAGTACAATAACACAGAAACAACTTGAGCTCGTGCCTCCAAGGAGGGACCTAAACAAAGGAAGCACTGAACTTTTATGCCCTCCCAGTCTGTGTGTGACAAAGTCCTGGCTCTTCCCGCTGAGTCCTCGGCTCCTGCTGTGTCTCAGTGTCCGGTCACCTGGCTGTGCCACAGGTCCTGTGCCCTGTGCTGTGCCAAGGGTCAGCACCAGTTCCTGGCCTCCTGCCTGGGGCTCTCCCAGCCCAGAGCCCAAGCTGTGGCTGGCACTGCAGCTGCACACCGAGCTGCCAGCACTGAATGCGTTCCTCAACAAGGGAATCACAGAAATGGTTGGAAAAGAAAGAGTTTCTAGAAGAAGGCACGGAAAAGCTCAGCAGCAGCTGTTGGGTCTGAGCAGAGCCCACCCTGCTGATACGTGCAGAGGGTTTCTGTGGTCCCCAGGCTGGCTGCCCTGCTGCCCCACAGGTTGTTCTCATTCTGTCCTGGCTGTTCACATGTGTGTGTGTTGCTGTATGGCCAGTTAGTGTGACAGCATGTCCTGAAGTACATTCCTGCATCCAAACTTCAGGAGCATTTGGCTGTAAATGACTGCACACATGGGTGGCCCAGGTGTCTACAGGGAGCCCCTCAACACATTTGATCTGCAGAAAGACAATGTGGAACATGGGAGAGGTAATGGGAGTGATGGAGGAGACTGTGGCTGGGGAAAGGGAAAGTTAGGCTTATCACTCATTCTATTTCTTCTCCTACCACAGCCCATCAAAGTGAAGGTTGAATTTTAACCTCAAGATGTGACTAAAATGCTCCTTGCTGGGAGCTGGTAGATTTTGCATTCTTTTCCAAGGTGAGAGTTGTCACAAGATGACAAATACCACAGACCCAACAGCATCTTCAAAACAGATTTTTCCTTTGAAATGAGTCAGCATGGAACAGCTTATTTGTGGTGGTCCAGTTTTGCTTCCCACAGCAGATCCAGCAGGATAAGCACTCCAGCTGCAGCTGCTCATTCCACAGGAGCTTGACAGCTCTCTGAACCAAGCTAGCCAGTAGCAGCACATCAGCCAGCAGTGGGTAAAAGACAGTGCTTACACCTAAAAGAGCAATTTGAAATCAATGCTGATTAATTGCAGGGGTCATCCAATCAGGAGGACGCAATTTAGAGAAGACTAATGGTCTTCAGGTTAAGGAACTTTCTGCCTTCTCAGGTGATTTCAGTTTAATTATTGCTTCAGTTCTTGACTTCCTAATTAAGTCAATTAATCTCTCCTGTTCTGTGAACTTCATCTCTAGAAGAGGCTAATTGCAGCTGACTCTTTTGCCTCTTTAGTTTTTCAGTTCTTTGTGGTAAGAATTAATTGTCCCCGTTTTACTTTTATCCTTGCCGGGATTTAGACCTCTGTACTGGTTAAGATAAGCCATAATATAGTACTAATTTTTATTTGGTGGGCGAGGTTCACCAAAGTTGCCAGAGTGGAATAAAGTGGGCATCTCTATAGGCCAGGTCTCCTAGGTCTTAAATGCAGGTATTGCTTTGGATGCAAATCTTGGATGTTCATGCAGAGTGTGCAGCAGAAGCCTGACAGATGTGCAGCCCTGACCTATGCACTGAGTAGTTCAAGGTGTCCCTGCACAGTGCTCTGTTTCTGCAGGAACTAACTGTCCAGGGCTGATGATAAAAATAATTACATGATGGTTGCCAGTGCTGATCCTCTCTGGCTGTCGGGCACTGAAAACTGATGAACAAGAATTATAGTTAACCAAATGCATACAGAAGAGTTGTGAATTTCTGAATTCTTTTGCAGACATCTGAGAAAAGAGGTAAAAGTTGCCAGGCAAGGACTCTATCATCTAAAAAAAGAGAGCAAACCCAAAATCATTTAATGAGCTTGCAGGTAGTTTTCTTCTCTTTCTCAACCCTGAAGTAGTCCTTGTCTCCCTTCTGCATATAGAACTCTTCAGATTTTGCCCATTTTCCCAGCTCTCCATCCTGCCTGCCTCAAACATAAAGCTTTTGCTAATCTTGAATGTTCAGTGGAAATGAGAATGAAATGTACATTTTTCTTTCCCCTCTCCTCCAAGTGGATTCTGCAGCTGGGAGTGGACTGGCTTTGCTTTGATCCTGTAATAATACTTGGGGCACAGGAATGGAGAGTGAGAGACTTTATCAAAGTCTGTTTCAACCCACAGGAACCTATGAGGACTTTGAGGGAGCTGGCCAGGACCAAGCTTAAAGTGTTCCTTACAATGTGTTCACGGTAGGTTAGACAAGATCAGTAATTGTCCCTTTTAAGACATACCATTTGAATGGAAGAGAGAGATAAACAAGGAGGCAACAGAGGAGGCAATTGGAAAAGAACTATCTGCAGCCAGCACACTCCAAAGCCACAGGGAGTTAAATATGGGCTGAGCAAATCTTTTATCTTTTTGACATTAAGAAATTCCATCTGGAGCTTTCATCGCAAAGGGAAGGCTAAGAGAGGAGGGGCCATGGTTTTAGATAAATAGCCAACAATAAAAACAATATGTAAGCAGAGAATCAACAGATGTGGAAAAGGGGATTAAGTAGTGAAGAAGATAACATATTACAAGTTATAAATTGTGAGGAAGGATTGCCAGACACCAAGCTGAGTGAGACTTGGCAAAAGGAATTAAATAACAAAATCTTCTGGAACAGAGTGAACAAAAGAGAACAAGGAGAGAAAGAATAAATAAGGTTGCTGTGCAGTTAGCAGGGGTTCCAGGTGGAAGATTATTTGTGTGTGGTCTTGGCATTATACTGAGCCCTGAGTCTGTGCTACCATGTTTTCTTCTCTCCTACGGATAATTCTGCAGAGCAGGGAGAGGGCTAACCAAGAGATATTCCCATGCTCAAATCAGTGAGGCAGATGAGCTCGATCCCAAATATGTGTCAAAAATCAGTCATGTGATATTGGAACTTCATGAAGCAAGAATTTGATACATTTATTCAAAGCATGGTTCTATGGGACAGAAACAATTGTAAACTTCATCTTTAGAATAGGGGATACAGCGCAACCTAGGCAGCTGCTGGTCTTCTACCATGGACAGACTGGGAAACTTTCAAAAAACTCTTCAAGAAAAATTACTTTAAACAAAGGCAAAATTGAGTAAAATATATTGGTAGACTTGCACTTCACCTAAGGGCTTTATTTCCTTGCCAACACAATTGGTTGGCCAGATAAGAGAAATGGAAACATGCATGTCTGGAAGTAATGTCTGATCTTTTCTTCCACCCATTGGAAGCATCTACAAGGTAGAGTTGTGCCATTTGCACTTTATTCATGCTTTGGGCATAACATTAGAGGGGCATTTATTAGGTCAATATGAGGAGAGGGCAAATAGCACAAGTATTGTTAGGTTTTAAAAATTGACTGAAAAGGAGATAAGTGAGATGAGAACAGCATGTGCTGAAAGAAGATCTGTGGGGTTGTAAGTTGCCAGCACAGTCCCATCATTAAGCTTACGTGTTTTGTTTTGTATTTTCCTGAATCATCAAGGCTTTGAACATAGGAAGTTGATACTAAAATGTGCTGTGGGACAGCCATGGGAACGTCTAAATGATCACATGGGGAGAATGATGTGAGGTGCCACCTGCAGATGTATGTGTGTATAACAGTACAGAGAGCAAACTCAAGTGCTTAGTAGCCCAAAACTGAACTGCTTGTGTTTCTCCTACAAGCCAATAATCCACATTTGGAAGCAATAGAAGAGGGTAAGACTTGGGTGAATTGGGTGCTGGAACATTACATGTGATTTAACCTTGGCAACAGCCTTGGCAACTCCTGTTTGCCAACTGTGATGGTAGGAAATGCCACTTCTTTGTCCAGAAGCCTGCTGGACACCTAGAGCTGATTCTAGGGTGGCCAAGACAGAGAAAAGTGTATCTAATTGGCTCTTACTGGGTTTAGGCTAAGGACATGAGGTTGTTGGGAGTGCTGAGGGCTTGCCATCAGTCTGTTGGAGCAATAGCAGAAGGGCAGAAAAACTATTTCGGCCATAGGGCAGTGTTAGCTCAAGGATAAATGGTGTATGGACTGACTGTGATGATCTGAACACTGGAAATTAATGTTCCTCCTCACATGAGCCAGGAGGTACTTCAGTGGGAAGTTTCATGACAAGAATCCACACTATTTCTGAGATGGATGCTTTTTTGAAAGTCATATAAAATAACTGCTGAGGTAGCTGGGGCCCAGGCTCTGTAGTCCTAGGGTTCCTTCCTGGAGTTTCTGATGGTGACTGCATGAATCTGGTGTGCAGTGTCCTCTGTTTCATATGGGACAGGAGCAAATGTATCCTCTCCCCTGTTCAGATTCCAGCTGCATCCAGCCTTGCCTTCCAGTCCTATGTTTCTCTGCTCTTGACCTAGCAGAGAGAGATTACAAAAGCTTCCTCAGCCACTTGAGAGCTCTTAGGCAGTCCAAGCGATTGTGGTTGTGCAGTTTCAGCTCTTTTTCTCAGCTGAACACCCACATATGTGAATAAATGCAGTTTCTACAGAATTCTCCATCTTTCACCCACAGAGTGCAAACACTGGTCTCTGACTCCAGCAGACTTTTGAATCTCTGGAGCAATAAAGTCTCCCTAAAGATCAAAGTCCAAACTGCTCTAAAATGAGTGGGTTTTTTCAGATCTGCTCAGCTCC